GCCCCCCCAGACGTCCGCGCCCCCCCCAGCCGGAAACACACTCCACCACAGACCTTCTGTTTTCTGACCGGGATCGCTCCCAGCTCTGTCTTTGGTTTCTTTTTAACTCCATCCTTCTCTAACCTGTAGGAGGTGTGTGTGTCCTCTGCTCCTGGTGTTTTTCTTCTTCTGGGGAAGCTGCGGGCCGTCTCCCGGACAACCTCCAAGTCCGCGCCCGCTGTTGCTCGATGAATTAGATTTTGTTTCTTTTTCTTTTTTAGCTTTTTCTCTTCCTATGCAACCGAGTGGAGTTTAGGTTCCCCGTTTTACTGTGAAGTCGTTCTTAAATCAAGTGTGTGGATCCGTTTCTGATTATGTGTCGTTGTTAAACCTCTTCAGACACAGTCCCGGCGTCCTGGGCGAGTGGTCCCATGTTCCGCGGGGACTCTGGACATGTATGACTTCACGTGTAGCGTGTTTTTATTTCAATTTTGTGAATGGAAACATTAAAGGTTTTGCCCAAGAACGGATGACAACTTTTCTGTGCGTTTAAAGCTTTGCTGCTACAGCTGCAAACTCTGGAGATGAGTCATCGAGCATTTTCATGGTGCTGAGTCATGCTTAAACCACCCTAAAGACTTTACATGGAATACAACAGGAAACCATGATGTTTCTTTAAAATGTCTGTCTATAAATCACATTAGTTATTCAGTAGAATGTCCTTCATTATCTTAGTTTACAGTTATAAGAGCTGTTATTCTGGAAAGGAGCAGGAATGGAACTACAGTTCAGTAATCCAATTCACCTTTTATTAAAGTATATTTTAAGGTCGAAATTATTGAAAAGAATGACTCATCTTCCTCAGTATATCATCTTTTTAATCCTCCTGTATTAAAGTTCTACTCTTTGGTTTTAAATGTGTGGAACCAGCGTAGGTTATTCAGAAACCATGGAAACGGCCTCCAGCTGCTGCCCTAATTCCACAGCTCCCGAACGAATCCACCCAATACTGAATCTATAATTCTGTTGGATTCCTGTGGGCTGTCAAAACGTTAGATAATGTTCAGGAAGTGGCTTCCACACGTGCACTGCCAGTCGCAGGTCTGAGCACACGTTTAAAATAGATTTTTAAAATGTCACAGCTTTTTTTTTTCTTGGGCTTTTACTGACCCTGTCTGAAACTCTCCACTCAGGCATGACTAAAGAAAAGTTATTTTCTGTAAGCTTGGTGAATGTTTCGGCTTTATAATAAGTAATTGGCAGGTCGGGGCGTTCACTTGAACGCAATGTTTTCATGTCTGTCCCAGTACGAAGAACAAATTCTGGTCAGCTCCAGCCATCGGAGGGAAACTGAAAGTGTGCAAAATAAGTGTTTACAAAGATCCCAAACATGGCACTTTGTACCCTGAGCTTCCAACAATAAAAAGGACAAAACAATCCCAGAATGTGTGTGTGGACTTTATTAGTTACGTCCAGAACAAAATACACAGTCGAAGCATTTTGAGATGAAACTCAAACCTCATCGAATACACATGTAACAAATACACATGTACTGTTCAGACCCAAACAAAAATCTGACTTCAGACACAGAAATACACCAAAGCAGAACATTTCTACACAGATTCAGGTCAGTCGGGGGGAAAAAAAAAGCCCCAATTCATACCGACTTTCAATTCCCCATTTTCAAAAGAGGAAAGGATTCAAGTAATTCCCCGATTTTCCCGAGTCAGTGACCCACCTCCCGTCACTGGGGGGGTCTGGTTCTGCGGGTCAGCTGCTCCTTCCTTTGCACGGCGGTCATCCCGAGGCCCCTGATGCCTTGCTCAAGGGTCACCTGGCGCCCTGGCGGCAGACCAGGCGCAGCGCGGAGTCGCAGAGGCCCCTGAGCAGCCGGGGGGCCAGCCGGCACACCCCCCTCACCAGGGTGAGCGTGAGGGCCACCATCACCCGCTCCTGGGGCAGGAAGTCCAGCCCCACGCCGCCCTTCATCAGCCGGTCAACCTCGTCCGCAAGGTGGTGCGTCCACTGCTGCAACAGGACATTTACACCTTTTATTTTCTCAAACTTCAGCCAAAAATGCACAAATAAGAAGGAATCAACCACCTGAAATGTGTAATCTTTCGGGATCTGTGACAATACAGACAATCCTCGGTGTAAGCCGGACCTACCTCAGGGGGGAAGTCTCTTAGTTTCCTTTTCAGGTTCTCAGTTGCTCGAGCCACAAGGTTGTGCTCGATCCGGGCGGCGATGTCCCTCAGACCCTCGGCCACCTCGCGAAGGGCGGCCGCATCTACGTCGTCTCCTATAAAAGCGGAAAAAGGCCAGTCCAGCTTCAGCAAACGAAATCAAAACCCCCCCCTCAGCTTTAAAGACTTTGACATGACGCGTTTAAACTGGCTGCCACCAAAGATTTAACAGCAGTTCCTTCCTGTTTTTGCCCATCTTAAAGAGGAAGTGTTTTAATAAGCAGTGTTTTTGGAACTGGGGCTCAATGGGACTTGACCCACATTTCCCCAGCTGATCAGTTCAAAATAACATAATTGAGCTGGTAAAATATTCATTTCCGGATGTTTGATCACATAACCAGTGACAGTCCTGGGTGACTGAAGGGAAACGTCAAATAAGTCTCGTAATTCAACTGAATGGTATTAGATGTATTTACTGCTATAATCCCCCCCCAAATTACCTTCAAAATGGATGGAGCTCCTTGGGTTGCCATCGCACTCCAGGTCCCCGTCCAGGAGCGTCTCTGTCCGGGGCCCATTGGCGTTTATATCCCGGGGGAAATCCTTGCTCAGGGCCAGAAGCTCGTTGTTGTAATCCAAAAGTCCCAGGTCCGCTTGAAGGAAGGCTAAAATGACAAATTCTGTCTTTTGTCTGCTCGACAGATATATCGACTCGTCCATTGATGCTCAGTCTGGGTTTCTGTTTAGCATCAACAGTTCAAAGTTAGTCCGGGAAATGTCTCATGTTTAGCCTCCTGGGTCAAAAAAACACAACTGAATCCGAGAAAGAGTGAAACAAACACGGCAAATTAACTATCATTTCCAACGTTTCCCGCTGTCTGGTGGGCACAATTGGGGGGGGGGCTCGGATAAAGCTAACTTTTATCTTAAAGACTGAACTTGCTAGCGTGTAAAACTGCCGTTATAGTGAAATTACCTTAAAGAGTTCTTTTAAAAATCGCAATAAAGTTAAGCTATTCCGAAATGTACTTCAAAAAAGTCTCTCGCAGGTCTGTAACCTCTTCCTGGTGAACCTTTAACTTGGCGCTAAGTGCTTTAACTGGGCACCGTTGGCTTCGGGCTAATGAGCAAATGCAGCATCACAGCAAAGATATGTTTCTGAGATGCGTCCAGGAGCATCGGAATTTCTTTATTTTGCACGCAACACTGCACTAAAAAATTTTTAAAAGCAAGTATAACAACATTTAGCCCCGTAGGATTTACAATCTGTTACCCTAAAGTTAATGTAAAATTACTTCAGCTCGGCATGGGATTTAAAAATTAGCAAAAAAAAAAATAAAGAAAAAATTACTCCTTTGATTCGTACGCCATTGAACGTAGCTGCGTGAGACAGTTGTTATCGTTTGCATGTTTTGTTCACTTGTGTTTACTGGTGAAGTATGAAAGGTTTCAAATGGGAACAGAACATTTAAAAAAATTCCAAAAGACTTTCCCCATATGTTATATTTGAATTGGGTTATTTGTTCCACATGATAGAGATTACACATAAGCGACATTTGACATGCAGCATTTTGAGAACACTAAGGTTTCTAAGACACAAAAGATTAAATAAAAAAGTTGGACAACACAGATTTAATCTGAAACTTTTTATTATCCACTGTGGAAACTCTTGATCTATTGAGCGTCTAAATCTGGCTGAAAAATGTCGACTGAAAAATGCACTTGGCAGCGTCAATGTTTAATCATGGTGTAGTTTCCACAATCTTGCAAAGATAGTTACCCTTGGAAAAAACAATTTGCTCTTTAACTGTTCAAACCATGGCTTGGGAGAGCAAGTCATATAAACTCCATGGAAAAAAAAGGAGGCACGATAGCTCATACTTCCTTCAACATGTAGTTCAGTGCAGCAGTAGATAAGAGAATTCTCTTTCTGGAAAGCCCCATGTTTCTTCCTCCTCTCTTTAATGAGCAAGTGCAGCACTTGGACAAAAACAAGCCCAAGGTTCACACTAAAAAATGGATAAAAAGATATATACACTTGATAAAAACGTTTATTTACAGTTAAAAGCAAAAATAAAAAAAAATCTTGACCAGTCAGGCACATTTCACAGAGTTAGATTTCTCCATTAAAGAGGTCTAAAGGTCCTTGGTCTTTCGGTTGCACATGTTCACTCAAAATTTAGCTGTCGTGGGGTTCCCCGCCATATCACCCAGGCTCATGGTATCTTTTTAAACCACAGACTTGTTCCGGAGAGTCGTTTATGTCACAGGAAATACCCTTCAGACCGCCTACCCCAGGCAGCCGAAGCTCATGGATCGCCCGGCTTTCTTTCCAACGAGCCTCCTCCCTGCTCTGGGCAGAGACCCCACCTTAGCGGGGGCCCTGACCCCCGGAGAGGGGCTCTGCTTTGGGGGCAGCGCGGCCCGTCGGGCCTCCTGGAGCTCTCTGAAGAAGAAAAGAAGAACACGAATGCCTTTTAGCTGGGACCTGGGTCTCGGTTTTAGATTTGACAAATTCCTAAACACAATAAAGCCAGACTGGTGGTGGTTCCCTTTCTGTTATGTTTGCAACAGCGCCACCTGCTGACCCTGTTCAAGCAGCACATTTCCCACATCCTGTACATCTTAGATCTCCCCCAACTTACAGCTGAGGAAGTGAGAAGTCAGAAGAGTCAACGCAATAGAGATCTTTTCAACGAATGGTAACAAAGGTTTAAATTCAAGCTTATGAAGCATCTCAGTGCACCATGACTCAGCATGATCACTATCAGGCTTCATCTCTCCTCTAAAATAGCTACATTTAGGCTTTTCCACTCATCCATCAGCCCCAGGCAGATTAATAAAGGAGAGAATGTAGGAGAAAATGTTAAATCCAGTGACAAAACTGGTGTCTAGGTGTAGCATTTCCCTATACAGGCTCCATGTCTGGCAGATGAGGGGTTCAGGGGGTTTGCGGCGTTCTCCTTTCCCTACTTTTCAAGCATAGCCGTCCTGAACCTCTCCACATTGAGCTCGGTGCGCAGCTGGTCAGCCAGCCTCTCCGTCCTCTTTTCCCTCAGGACGGGGTGTTTGCAGAGCTCCCTGGCAGACGGCCGGCTGGTCGGGTCTGGATCCAACAGGGACTGAAGCAAAAACACCAAAAAAAAGAAAAAAGGACATATACGGCACGTCAACATGGTTGCCGTTCAGTTCTGATGGAGTCCACGTCAGAACCGGACGCAGAGTACCTGCAGTAGACCTCTGAAGGAGGGGGAGAGCTCCTGGGGCAGCTCTGGGAGATTCCCCGCCCTGATACTGTGCCACTGATCTCCGTTTTGTGGCAGAGGAGGCGAACCGGCCGCCAGCAGAACGGTGAGGCCCAGGGCAAAGATGTCCGCCTTGGGGAGGTGGCGGAAATCCTGGTGGGCAGAGAGACTTCTAAAAAGGGAAAACGGCTCCTCGGTGCAGGGAAAAAAACCCCCCTTTAGCTTTTTTGGATGAAGGGGAAGCTGAGGGAAACGGCAGTTTTACCTCGTGCAGAACCTCACTGGCCAGGAAGCGGCTGTCCCCTTCCTCAACCTCAGGACGACTGGATGAAGTCACATGACCCAGATCACCTTAAGGTAAAAAAAAATGTATTAATTTAAAAAAGCATCTGATTCAATAACATAAAATAACACACACAAAAAACAGAAATACGCCCAAATTTTCATTTAGTACCTATTTTGTAAATGACTCCAGCTGAAGGGTTTACATCATCATCATCATCTTCTTCATCCTCATCATCATCACTTGCTGGGTTTCTGCCAGTAGACTGGCAGATGAAGATATTGCCTAAAAAGAGTTGGAAACCCCCATCTTTCTTATACATATTACATGGTGGTCATGCAACAAACAGGCGGAACACAAGTCCCGTACTCGGTTTGATGTCCAGGTGGACGAGGCCCGAGCTGTGGATGTATTTTAGCCCCATGGACACTTGTGTGAGCAGATCCTTCAGTTCGGCCTCTCTGAGGATCTCTCCTCGGGCCTCCTTCTTCACAATGACGTCACCCAGACTTCCGCCTGCACACAGAGACGAACGCATTTCTTCACTTCTGAAAAAAACAAACAAAAAAAAAACAGACAGCTGCTCCGGTGTCGTCACCGAGGAAACCCACCGTCACAGTACTCGTTCTGAATAATCATGTGGTCATCCTCGGCCCAGGCCGAATAATAGCGGACGACGTGGGGGTGGTGGCCGAGAACAGCGTGTGCGTACACCTCCTTTAGGGCCAGCTGCCTGAGGACAGAGTCACCCGTTAATCTTGATCAAACTTTACAAAAAAAAAACCCCAACGGGAATGGACTCACTCGTTGGCGGAGCCTGCCAGGGGTCGGCGCGAGCGTTTGATGGCGTACAGGCAGCCGTCCAGCCTCTTCACACACTTGTAAACGGCCCCGAACTCGCCCACGCCGATGCACTCCAGCTCCAGGAACTCGCTCTCGTAGCGCGACAGCATGAGGGCCTGCACCGCCCGCCTCTGCCGGGCAAACAGACGGAGGTGACCAGAACATCCCTAAAGGAGTAGTCGGGTCACTCTGCCTCCAGGACGCAAAGGCCTGTTTTTTTTTGTTTTTTTTAAACGCTGCGTCGCCAAATATAGTCACGCTTCCTCTAGGAAGGCCTTCTGTGGAGATTTTTGTTTTTGTTTTTTTTCTTTAGCCGGAGATTCCTTTGAGAAATCCCGGAAGCAGAGTTGGCAGCTTGTCATTTTTGGTCAAAACAAGACAGTGAGTAGGCAGCTGAAGATGACAAAGCCCGGAGATTGGAATCGCATCAGCGGCCTCTGTGAGGGAGGATTACATTTCATGGTGGGCACTGATAGATAAAATGAAAAATAGTGGCACCTTTGGTGGGAGGAAGGCCTCATCGTCCTCTTCAGATGACGTGAGGCTGTGTTTCAACCTGAAAGGGGCAAAAGGTTGTCCACACTTTCAATCAGACTCCAAAAAGCGGGCTCACCGTTTTGTATTTTACATCAAAGCCAACATACAAGCAGCATGGAATTATTTTATTTTTTTCTACCATAGATGCACTTACCCACAAAAGAACAAAACAAAGCCTAACCTTTGAGTAAAAACACTTAAATGCGTCTCTGTCGTCACCAATAATTCTAAATCTGGGGGAGAACTACCTGTGCTGATAGTCCTCCTCCTCCTCGTCGCTCCTCCCGCCGTCCCTCCACTGGCGCTCGCTGCTCCTGCGCACCGTTTCCGGCGTGAACGGGTTCACGTTGACGGACGGGACCTGAATGAGGCTCTTGGCAGCCGAGGAGAAACGCAGGCTCCTCTGGTGCCGACTTGTCTTGACGCTGGAGGGGGTGTGGGACGATTTGACCAGCAAACTCTAGGAGGGGTTAAAAAAATACAATTCAGTAAAATGCAATTTACAGAGTTCAAAAGTGGCTGTAAAAAACATTGTGACAACACTCAGGGCGCGCTGTGCTCCACCTTGGGGGTGCTGGGGGAGTCGCACAGCCTGAGCTTCTTCCAGGAGGCGTAGGGAATGGGGCTGGTGGTGCGTGAGGGGGAGGACAGGGCGTGGCGGCGCTGCGGGCGGGGGGTTCTGCACGCCAGGCCGGGGCTGCCGAAGCGGGGGCCGCCGTCGTCCGAGGTGTTGTCGCTGCTGCCGGCCTCCTCCCCACAGCTGGAGAAGTCCAGGTGCTGGTTGATCCCGTCAAAGAGCGTCGCCATGCCTGGGGCCTGAGGTTCAATGGAGGAGGGGTCAGGGGTCATCCAAACATCTCAGCTTCAGGGTTTAAATCCTCCCACTGCCCTAAAACATCATTCTATGCCCACAAAACCAGATTCTAAACGCTCATATTAGTACTGATTCACTGATACAATATCCAAAACATATTTCAGACAAAAAATGTGTTTAAGATGCTCATTTCTTGCACAGGCTAAACTGATTTTGTGGCAGAGCTCGGCCTTTTCTCCCCGTTTTCCCTTCTTGAGACTGGCTTCTTGACAGCCTCCTTTCCACTGAGGCCTCAGAACAGCACACGGATCAGCTGAGGACACCATGTTGTTTATGGGACTCTTATTTTTAGAATTTCTTTTAAGCTTTGCAGTGAACAGTAAATGTGGACAAATGCATTTTTACACAGTGTGCTAGTAAAAAAGAAAAAACAAACACTATTTCAGAAGAGGTGATCCACAAAACTAGATACAGATTTTGTATGAGCTGCAAAACATGATGTGACAATAGAACTGACTCCAGCAAGGAAATATTACCCAAGACTATTGAAAAAAACACGTTTTAAAAAAAAAAGAGATGGCACTAAACCTTGACAGTGTACGGTCCTCTTCTTTTGGGGGAACAGCGTGTTTACTCACCCACATTAATCCGCCTCCACATCGCCACCAACGCGTTTGAAATTCGCGCCACAAATGCAAATGACTTCCTGTTTAAATCAATTACGCCACCGGGTCAGGAAGTCGTGGCCTCTGATTGGCCAACTCTTGCCATCGAGTCGTGTCCGGTTGGACAAACGAGCTGGTGGAGATGGGTTTGGTCAAATATGTCCTGGAAGGTGATGGACTGGGACGAAATAGCACAAATTCACATTTAAATTGATAAGAAAAATTTTTATTTTATATTTTGTATTATTCCATCATTTAAAGATGAGAGATTAAAATAATTTGTTGTACTAATATGGAGTACAAAGTGTTACATAGGACCTCAAAATGCCAGATACACTTCCCATAAGAAAAATTAGGTCACTGTATAAAATAGTAATCTAGACACGTGGGCGGAAGTGGGCTACGTCATCACAACAGTGAGACAGGAGGAGGAAAAGCAGTCCGTCCGTGGATGTGACACGCTTACAGATCCAGAGAAAACAACCCAGCCAGGAGCAGGACACCATGATCCGGCTCCAGAAGCGCGTTTAGCCCGATCAGAAACCCCACCGACACCGGAGCCCATCACCCCCCCCCAATACACACACACACACACACACACACGCACGCACACACACCCCCTACACGCCCAGTGTGTGTCGTCCGCGGCCGCAGCGCGATGGTGGAGCAGTCGGACCGAGCCCCGCTTCTGGACTGGGAGGAGATCCCGCCGCCGGACCCCAACCGGGCGGCCAAGCCACCGCCCCGACCGGAGGAGGAGGAGGAGGAAGGAAAAGAGGGGAAAGGCGATGCTGCATCGGTGGCGGTGGTGGGGGGGGTCGGGCCCGGGGCCGGGGCTGGGTGGAGCGGCCCCCCCACCACCACCCCCTCCACCACCACCGGGTGTCCATCTCCGGTCGTCACCCGCAGCCCCACGGCCCGGGACGCCAGCCCCGGGCGGCCCCGGGCCGGGCCCCCCGGGACTGAGCGCCCGGAGCCGGTGGGATCCGACCGCAGCGCCCCGTTCCCCGGCGTCTCCAGGCGGGACCAGTGGGAGGAGAAGGACCAGATCGTGGCGGTGTTCGTGGTCACTTTCGACACCCGATCAGGTGAGGGCTCCTTATCTTTCTCATCTATTTGCACGGTCTGTTAACCAATTTACACGTGACTGTCTCGTGCCACAGTTCCAGATGATCTATGTCAAAACCTCAATGGGATTAAATCTACACTCCTAAATGAGTGTTTAACAAAAATAAACAACAACAACTGCTTGTCTGAAGGGGGGGTGCATCCTGTTAAAGGTTAATGCATTCACCTCCAGTTTAAGATCAGGCAGCTGAGTCAGTCCTTTCCCCGTCCCTGACCTCCTGGTGCCACAAGAAGAGTGACATGCACAATTTGAGGAAGTAGCCAAGATGAAAGTAGTGCAAACAGAAGGGAAGTGACTTTTGTGTGTTTTTGTGACCGGCAGGGAACATGGTGGAGTGGTGCCTGCCCCACGACATCAACCTGGACGGAGTAGAGTTCAAGTCCATGGCCAGCGGCTCCCATCGGATCACAAGTGACTTCATGTAGGTGTGACCCTGTGGGTCTAGAGCTTCCAGTGTTTGTGTGTTTCCTGTTTTTAACCCCCCGCCCGTCGGACAGATATTTTCGTAAAGGCGGTTACTTCGGGCTGGCCTGTTTCGCGAACATGCCCGTGGAGAGTGAGCTGGAGAGAGGAGCCAGGATGAAGTCTGTGGGAATCCTGTCTCCTTCCTACACCCTGCTCTACAGATACATGCACTTCCTGGAGAATCAAGTCAGGTAAGGCCGTGCATTCTGAGCCATAAGTTCTTTCTATGTTTATTTCTCACCCAGCTTCCTTTTCAGTTTTTTTTTTTTGTGTGCCTTCTTCCTATGCCTGCTTCTTTGTCTAAAATGTTCTCATCAATTAAACATGAACTCGGAATCCCAGTTAGTTGCAGTTTTTAGTCACAAGGACCCACTGACATGCAGATTCTTTTTTTATAGAGTCCAAACAAAGAGCTTGAAGAAATCTTGACAGTCTCTCGTTCTGTGGCTGTTGTTGTTCCCCGGTTGTTTCCTAACAACCCTGACTCTCACTGACTATATATAAATATGACAAAGCTTTAGTTTGAATCTAAATAGACCATGGCTAACTAGTTTAAAATTTATAAGATGTTACAATGGATTGAGAGCCTCTTCTGAGCCTCGGACTTAATGATGCATTTTAAGGACAGACGTGCGTTACTAGCCAAGAACAATCTGAAATAAATTAAATTAGGAGCTAAACGCAGTCTGAAGCATAATGCAAAGTAAGCAGGCCCTCCATCGGATGAATGAACAGGAATAGGGAGCAAAGGTCCAGGCGCCACAAAGATAATGAATATCTCAGAAAGAGACACAAAACAACCAAATCAGAATTCAATAGATATGTAAATGAGGACATGGAAAATGATGAGGCGAAAAAAAAAAGATCAAAAACAGCTCCAAACAGATCTAAAAAGGAACATGAAATGGACCAAAGACGGTGCTGAAAGGCCACAAGAAGATGAAAAACATCCAAAGAATTAGACAAATGAAGTGAAATCTTTAAAATAGTCAAAAGAAGACATTAACTGGCCACAGAAATAAACAGAATTACTTCAATAAAAACATGGATCTGTCATAAAGAGATTAGGAATGACACATATGACCCACAAAATGGTTAAAAAACAGTGATTCAAAACAATTGAAATTGGGGAAAAAAGCAAAGCGAAACAATGTGAGAGAAATAACCATCTTAAAAACGCACAACATGACAGCAAAGAGCTACAAAAGACAATAAACAGTTGTAGATAGATGCTTAGAGGCCAAAGGTGAGACAAAAACAACCCAAATTAAATGATATGGCCACAAATACATGAGTCAGAAATTAATAAATAGATAAAAAAAACTGATGGGATGCAAAGTGAGCAGAGATGCAAAACAGCACAAGGAGATGTTGAATGTCCGTAATGGAACAAATTACCATTAGAACATGCAAGTCGGCGGCCAAATGCACAGATCTGCAACACAAGGGACATCTGCATGATTTCTGGATGAATGTTTGTTCTTTTGGACATTTTGTCCAGAGTGTGATGGGTGGAGGGCTTTACAGGCCTGTGCTCAGGGATCTGGGTCTCACTATCCATCCATTAGAAATACACTATTCACCATCTGAGAGCCTGTTGGAGTGATGTTGAACATGTGGAAGGCTTAACACTCAATCAAAAGCGAGCTCGATGTATCTGGTGTGTCGTTTAAGTGTCGTTTATTTCCTTGTCGCAGACACCAGCTGCAGTGCCCGGGCCAGTATTCCCCCCTGGAGGCTTTTTACGAGGATAAGAAGGCGGTCCTCCCCCCCACGGGGAACAGCCTGCTGCCCGTCTCCCCCAGCTGGAGCGTCACCAACATCAACCGCTGCATGCACCCCGAAATGAAGGTACGAGGGCGTGAATGGCGCCCGGAGCCGGCCGGACGCCGCCCGGCCGAATAGCGGCGAGCAGCGACGGCCAACGGCCCCCTTTTTTTGTCCCCAGATCACGCACCCGGCCGGCTGCATGTCCCAGTTCATCCAGTTTTTCGGGGAGCAGATCATGGTGCTGTGGAAGTTCGCGTTGCTGCGGAAACGCGTCCTCATCTTCTCGCCGCCGCCCGTGGGCGTGGTCTGCTACCGGGGTGAGCAGACCCCCCGCAGACATTATTAACTCAAGATATAGATATTGGTGTTTTAATACATTTCAAATGACACCCACCACCCCGCAGAACCCACAAGATCAATAAGCAATAAAACAATAGTGAGTCATTTCAAGTCAAGTCAAGCAGGCTTATTTGTCAATTTCTTTACATGCGCTGGTCATACAAATAATTGAAATTTCGTTTATTTTTTTTTAAATTAATTATTTTTTTATTTTTTTATTTGAATAGGGACAAAGCACATTAATGAACATCAGTCAAAAACAAATGTAAATATGCCGGATTATAGCCACAAAGCAAATTTTCATCCGTAGTCCCTAGGCAGGCAAATGCATAAAAAATAACATATAATAAACAATATAAGCATCACAAGTAAATGTTTAGATTTTAGTGGTCACATGACTGGTTTGCTTTCATCCGAAATTTAAGTTGAGCTCTAAAGCTGATCAGTGTGGGGCTTTCCCGTGTGAGCTCTCCCGTGCGGACATAGACATAAATTAGATAAGTTAGATAAATTAGACATATAATAAGAAAATTGTGTGATATAATAAATAGAAATTGATCAATTGTAATGTGCAATATTTACAATACAGTCATTCAAGTAACAGGCATGGAGAAAGCGTATACACATGTACATCTTAGACCATAAAGAAAAGGAAAGACAAAAGTAGTTATTATGACAAATACAAATACAACCAAGCAGTAATGAAAAAACATTAACCATGTATATGCATATATGTACATATGTTCCTACCATACATAACAGAGGGGGACAGAATAGCCTTATTCATTTAACTTTTATAGGTCTTATAGGTCTGGCCATCAGATTTTGGTGGTTTATTCATAGGGATTCTCAGGAGGTGTCTTGAGCTTTTCCAAATATTTTATGAATGGATTCCAAATACCATAAAACCGATTATTGGATCCTCTTAGCGTATATTTAGACTTAGACTTAGACTTCCTTTATTGTCATTGCACAAAAACATGAGGTGAATTTGACAATGAAATGTCAATTTCTTGGCTATCAGAGTAATATTTTTTAGCAACGAAACATGTATTTATTTATATTTAATCTGACGCTGTGTTTTCCCCTGTGCCCCCCCCCCAGTGTACTGCTGCTGCTGCCTGGCCAACGTCTCCCTGCCGGGCGTGGGGGTGTCGGTGCCCGAGCTGCGGCCGTTCTTCTACGTCAACATCGCCGACATCGGCGCTCTGGAGTCGGAGCTGTCGTACGTGGCCTGTGAGTGGAGCCCAACCGGCCGTTCAGCCCGATCCGTTCACGGATAAGCCTAAAAACTACCGCCTCTTGCTCTCAGGCACCACGGAGAAGATCTTCGAGGAGAAGAAGGAGCTGTACGACGTGTACGTGGACAACCAGAACGTGAAGACGCACAGCAGCCATTTGCAGCCTCTGCTCCGACTCAACGCGGCCGACAAGGAGAAGTACAGGAAGCTGAGCGAGCAGAGGTGCGCTCGCCCTGAAAGCCCCCGCAGCTCCACACAGCCACTGTGGCCTTCACAACGCAGCCAGCTTTCCTTTATCCGCGTCAGATCGCTTCACTTTTATCTATTCAGCGCAAGTTGGCATGACAACTCGTCTCAGCGGGCTTCAAATGTACTTTTTAATAATGTTCGGTGTGATTTGTGTTCATGGAGAGCGAGGACGGGAGCTCAGTGCATCATGGGGTCTCTGAGATAAGATGGAATTCGGTTATTTATTTCAACATGTGATAGGAAAAAAAACTTAGTTCGGCTGTGGTTTGAACAGGGAGCCACAGAGGGGAAACTGGAAAAAAATACTACTTATAAAGACCATCAGTTTATAAGGCAAAATGGAAGCAAATTTTAAAAAATGCATGGCAAAGATAGCATTTAAAAAACAGTATTTGATCTTAAAAATAATTTTTATAGAAACAAAAGTCATATTCTGACAATTTATAATAAATATGTGCTCAAAATTAAGTTGATATTTGCCAGTTCTGGCCCATTTGTTCGTTTCATTTGAAAGAAAACAGCGTCTAATCAGCTAAAAGGCTTTTTTTGGATAAACAAGTGACAAAATTGCCTTTTTTTTTTTTATTGCAGGCAAATGCTTCTGTACTCTCAGGAGGTGGACGAGGACTGCACGTCAAACGAGGAGGATCTTTTCATTCTGTGAGTCCTTGACCGTCTCATAGGAGACCGGCGCCGTTTTTCAGCCATTCTCCGAATGCCAACCGTGTCCTCTCACACTGTGTCCAGGTTCTTCATGGAGCTCAACAACCGCGTGTTTCAGACCCTGTCCGAGGTGGCGGGGGGCAGCGAGCCCGTGCTCACGGCCGAGCACGTGCGCGCCATGGGGCTGGACCCCCAGGCCGACCGCGCCTTCCTGCTGGACCTGCTGGAGGTCTACGGCCTGGACGTCGCCGTGGTGATAGACGGCCTCTGCTGCCCCTGAGCTGGAGGGAGGGGGGGGTGGGGGGCACTCCGTTTGGTCACACACACACACAGACACACACACAAAGACACGGAAGACACTGCCTCTGTCATGTACCCCCCCCCCCCCACCCGCTGTCCCCTTTGGGGTGTGTGTCCCCCCCCCCCCAGGGGGGGGGGCGGGCCGGTTTGACAAAAACCGAGGTGGGGGGGGGACCTGAAACGTCTTCACAGCAGGATGCTCGACTGATTGACACTTCCCGGGTCCTCCTCCGGCTTTAGTGTTTATTTAGAAGAGCGGTTATATTTTGGGAGGTTCCAAAAAAAAGCAAACATCATCTTTTCTGGGAAGTGAGACACGCTCCAGACCTCCCCCCCCCATAACCCCAAGCTGTGTGCTTACCCCTCCTCTGGTAAATTGACTCCCAAGAAACAGCTAAACAAAAGCTCTCTGACCACTTTATTTGCCTTTTTAAGAAAGCAGCAATACGAGAAGGCATCGTCTTTTGTCCTATAAGCTTCTCAGAGTTCAGTTTTTGTGTTTCTTTTTTTAGAAAAAAAGTTCAACACAAGTTTGAGCGAAACTCAGTGTTGAGTTGGCCCCCCCCCCCTTTCTTTTTCTTATCTTGTTAATAATTGATATGAAACTGAATGAGAGCGAGGAGGCTGTTTTAAACATTAAGATTTATGCACTTTGCAACATAAGCTAGGTGTGATCTTGTCTCTCTGTGTGTGTGCCGGAACATGGACGCTGCAATGTGGGGGGGGGGGGTCAGTGGGGGTCAGAGGTCACCCGTAAACCTTCCGGCTTGTCTTTTGCTGGAGTCGGAGGAGGACTTCTCAGTGAATGTGATTTTTCTGTGACACAACGTCCTCCCGACGCACACCCCTCATGCTTCTTACTGCAACGTCCTAAATGCTGTTTTCTGATTGGCTGTGAGAGCCCAGTGAAAGGACCCCCCATCTGTTCCAGCCAAAGGTTTCCACTCGGCCTTTCATCCACTACTCATTGAGGAAATCCTGCTTTAGAAATGGGCCCACTGGCTTTTCTCCATCCATCATGTTGCCAATCACTCCGACAAGTCCCTGCTGGAACACATGAGGATCATCTTTCCTTTTTTTAATTCTTTTTATTTATTTATTTTTTTGCCTCGCCTTCAGAAAACGTTAAGAGCTTCTCCGCTTTAACTCGTCCCACCCCAGACGAAACGAGCTCAAAGTATTTTTGTAGGCACACCTTCTGAATTCTGTTTGTCCATATTTAGTGTTCACGGAGACTTTTTATTTTTAATCGCGGTATTCCAAAAACATGGATGTGGGGCCAACCCCCAGATTGAAAAACTACTGATCAAGGGACTGTTATACAATATGTACAGAGCAGAATATGGATGTGACCCTACACTACGTTTTTCTGGGTTTGTACAAAGAGAGAAAAAAAAAAAAAAGAAATGTATCAGCAAAATGCACTAAATGTTATGTATGAAAGAAAAAGGCAGTTAAGCTTTATTCTTACAATGGGGCCTTAAAAAAAAAAAACGGGACTTACAGCAAAGAAAAGGTGGATTATCGTTTCTGTTTGTCGGTCGACTTTGACGAGCTAAAGACTGAATTGTGTCGTGCTTCACAACTTTTTGTGCGACGGTAGCGTTTGTGTGGACCTCACGCAGACGTGGACTCGCTCCTCGGCCCCCGTGGGGGGGGGGGGGGGAATGTACCAAACTCACGCCACTGCATAACATGCCTTCTTTGTGGAAAACCTTCACAGACGTGTACCAGCATTGGCTCGACTTCCTGTCTGTACAGCGTGTCACTCTACTGAATGTCGGCCGGCGCCAAAACTCCTCCAAGTGGTGTTACGGTTTCCTTTCTTGATTGTACTGTGAATCAGGATTGTACACAAAAAAAACTAGCGGATCAAGTCTTCACCTCTACTAATGTGAAACACTGTTAAGTGATGTCAGTTATGTACACAACCCAATAGCATGAGCAACTGTCAGTTTCACTGTACTGCCATTGTTAAACAATAAAATGTTGATTCTGGCTTGAGTGTGAGGTGACACACACACGCACATTCACACACACACACACACACAGACATACACACACATACACACACACACTTTTCACTGAGCACTGCAGCTTTCAGGACCATCTGACTGGAGCCAAATTTTGAAGTTTGAAGTAAAGAAAGCTCAAAATGTTTTATTTATTTATTTTTTATGCATCAATTCCTGCAAAAATGATGGCTAAAGAAAATGCTGGTGATTTGAACTGGGCCTGTAAGGTGGATGTTGTGGCCTGTTTTTAAGGTGGAGGATGAACGTTATCAGAAAAGTGTGTATATGAAAAACACTCCAATGAAAGTCACTTTCTGCTATATGTCCGTAGCCTGTGATTATTATAGTTTATTGACACGTTATTACAAATTTAATTCTGACTTAAATGAAACCAGGACAGCTACCCCTGAATACTGAGTACACTAAATACTCAGGATTTCTCTCAGCATCGGTTTTTCACTAAATGGGGAAAAAAACATAAATGAAATGGGTTTAGCTTCCATTAGTGTTTTTCTGAGCGGTGGAATATGATGGCGCCCGGCATCGCTATCACCAGCTTAATCCTTCAGATTTGCTGTCCACGCCATCTGTCGGATCAGACCCACCCCTGCCAAGCAGTGAGTCAAAAATCCCGACCCAAGCTGTGGACCGCGCCCCTCCCTTTCTCTTCTTCGGCCGACCGGCATCCACCGAAACCTGGCTCCTCCTTTTCTTTTGTCACCCCCTCTGTCAGGGGGGAAGACTTCTTAATATTTTTGGCAAGTTTTAAAAAAGCATAGTGCTTCTTCTTGCTTCTTTTTTTATTTTTAAAACTCAATATCTAAATCAGCCAATAAGGGATTAATTTCACTGGACAGACGTTTTTATTTACCAAGACCAGACATGTTGACCATAAGAGAACTTGAGATCCATCTGTAATAACACATCCTGCACATGGGTTACGAGCTGAGAAAGCCGCCTTGGTCCTCTAATATACAAGATAACTTCATATTTAATGTTGATCGTAGTAAAAAAAACAAAAAAAAAACGACTGCTGCAGAAGTAAAAATCCAGTCTGGGGTTGGTGGGGTCAGTTTTTCTGTCACTGAGGCTGTGAGAGGAGCTGCTCTCTGCGCTCCCCGCTGATGAAGAAGCGTAGTTTCCTTGGCAACAGCCTTATCTCCACGGGCATGGCCTCAAACTCCTCATTGTCGATGTTGTAGAAGCCGGAGGAACCCTGCAGAAAAAGGCTGCGTCTTAATACCGAACAGAAGAAAAAATTGGGGAAAAACCTGCCAGCGGGAGTGACTTGACCTCAGAACTTCTCACCTCTGGCATCTTCAGCCGGCACGCGCTGGCTTCAAGTTTTGTGGAGTTTTTAGTGAACAACGTTGGGTCTTCTTGTTTTTTACTCCTAAGACAAAGAGCGTTTAGAATAATGACTTTAGGTGCCGTACATTTAACTCATTGACTGCCAGAGTTTTTTGAGCATTTTGACTGATTTTTCAAGAGCCACAGAATAGTTTGTGCTATGACTATGTAAATACCGAACACACCAAAAGAAAGAGTAGACTCTCTTCTTTCATCAGGAAAAAAAAATTGTTTTCTAGCTTATTCCGTTCTTCCTCGACTTGCGTCTCACCGGCGCCATGTTCTCTCATAGCGAACCATTACCTTTTTCTTATTTGCCTTCAATCTATGCTCATCTCCCATCAAAAGTGGCACTGCCCCCTAGAGGGTCAATTTGTTACTACATACTCTGTCTAGAAGCCTGATATTTACGGACAAGCTTTAGCAGATCGTCCCCCAGCCACTCTTGTTGAAAAACATAAAAGAAGTCTATAGAAGCCTTTGGCAGCCAATGAGTTAAAAGGTCTGCGGGAGGCTGAATGTAATGAAAACTAGAAAACAAACCCGACGGTGATGAACTCGCCCACGGTGAAGTCGTCCGGCTCGGCGCAGATCATCAGGGAGTCGTGGACGCGCTGAATTTAAAGGAAAAGAGGGCGAGATTAGGAGGACCGTAAAGCTGAACGGTTCTGGGACCATGCTTTAGAAGACGAAAGCGAGCCTCACCCTTTCCACTGGGTTTTTGTTGTGCGTCTGAATGTAGAGCTCCAAAGACGACAGCTTCTGCTCCTCCCACCTCTCTGGCTCCTCCACTTTTGGGGGCTCTGAGCAAACAAGGAATTCATTAAAAAAAACCCGCGTGTAATTAAACCGGGGTACCATCGTTACACACACTCACCTGCAACCGGTGGGTTCCAGTAGTTCTTCAGCCGGCGGGCGATGCGGCTGAGCAGGTTCGGGCGGGGGGGCTTCTGGGGGGGCAGGTCGGGCGGCCGGAGGCTGGGAGCCAAGTACGACACCGACACGTCCTGAGCCAGAGGCCACTCCTAAAGAAAATCAGGCTGAGAAACATTAGCTTCCAATAAACTGCAGCCTGAAGGAAATAAGAAAGAAGAAAAAAAATCTTACCCTCAGAGTTCTTAACCAATGGGCCGCATTCGTCTTAAGAGGTCCAAGGTACCAATATCTGTGTGGAGGCGTTAGGGTTAAGTATTATGATTCAATATTAGGGTGAAACAACTTTTAAAAAACATAAAAAAACATGCAATTTGTGATGTCATTGTTGAATATTGTGATGATGACACATCTTTAATGCACAATTATGATGTTCTCAAGGGCTGAACTCCCCTTTTTTTTACCACAAAGACAGCAGAACTTTTTCAAGATTTTGCGCGGCTCTATTTACGAATAGTCTTACTTGCTGACTGTTGCCGCCACGTCTCTGAAAGCCCCCCATCGCAGCCCCATCAGAGCAAAGACCGGCTGCTCCATTTCCCCCTACGAGGATCGGACCAAAGGCAACGTTAAAGCAGAGCAATAACCCACGCCGAGAGCTTTCCTTCCACCGACCGGTTTCTCACTTTGATTTGTAGCACGTCGAGAGGCACCGTTTCTCCTCTCAGGATGGAGAGCGTGGCAGATGTGATGGCCCTGAGAAACACATTTGCCAAATCAAGCATCGGGTGTGCCTATTGTGGAGTCCAGTTGTGATGCTGCCAAAGACTCACTGGACTTTGTTGTCACTGATGAGGTGGAGACTCGGGCTCAGGGAATTGTGGGAACCAAGAGGAATGAATCCGATGGGGGTGTTACTGAAGGAGTCCTGTTATCAGAAAAGTGACCAGAGTTAAGGAATGACCAGACAGTGACGTATGAAGAGCATAGCTGTGTTAGACCTACTTGATCGGGCCTTCGGAGTAAACCCGTGATGACCTCCTGCAGCGTGCCGTCTCCTCCAGCCACGATCAGCATGTCCGTTTGCTCCATAAACTCCATAAGCTTCTTGGCCTGGCCCTCATAGTCTGTCTGAGGGGAAAAACGCCAACGTGTCGGAGCACTTTAAAGGTGAATCCACATCAAAATCGAACTAGGATCAAATTCTTAGATACCTTTACTATTGTAATCTCCACTCCAGCCAGGTGCAAAATAGGAGCAGCATTCTTTTCGAATAAGTTGTTGGCTTTCCTAGGGAAACGTGAAAGGGAAAAGTGGATTAGTGTGTTTTTTTAATACAGGCGGCATGCATCATATGGTCAAACAACAGCTTTGTCTACGTACCCACTGCAAGCTGCAGGGTTCAGGATCACGGTTGCCTTCTTCAGTTGCTCCTGGGGTGCAATCTGTTGACGTCCAAATTCCTAACAAACAGGACAGAGGTCAGGGCCACATTCTGCGTGAAAATGTGTTGTGTTTGATGGTGAATTTGTGAAGGACCATTGGGTAACGCCTCACCCTGGCAAACTGACAAGCCTCCCTGCGCAGGACACTGTCACTGATGGGTTGAAAGAGATTGTAAACAAACAAAAAATCAAAGACATGCGAGAAGATTGACTTCATGACGTGATCGCGTCAAACATCTAAGAGACCCACCAGTGTTTACCGTACAGCCAGTATCCCCCGTAGGACAGGACGCAAGCCGCGACTGTGGATTTCTTCCAGTGATTCCGCAGAGTCTTAAATACTTTCACAACCCTGGCCATGGTTACAACACCCTCGAACCCTCTGTGTTGATGTTATGCCACATTTACAGCCATACGACCATTTTCAAGTCTGAAATCCACAAGGTAGACCAGAGCGGTCACGGACTGATCTGCATGGGAATTATGGTGTTACATTAAAACAGGGCGGACCGAAACAAAAAAGAGCAGCGACTAGTACCGCCTGCGATGGTCAAAAGCATTTAAAATCAGCACCGATAACTGTCATAACAAAGTTCAAATAAAAACATTTAAAAACATAGAATTAGAATTCCTCATATCTGATTCATGTATGAATGATTTCTTGAGGTAATCTCATGGACTGACGTGGTACACTACATTTCCCATCAGTCGTAGCGTCCCAAAGGTTTCAACCGTCTCAACTGATTGAGGACCTCGCCTGAACACGTTAATAAAAACATGTATTTACGTTGAAGATGTCTATCTGAAATGTTAATCACTGACGGAATTTATACCAAAGTGACTCTCTGTTTTTGATAAAAGCAACAAAAACATGGAGGGATTTCATGTTTTAAATTTCAGTCCGGCACGCATCCGGAACCGGTCGTCCGGATTTTCTGCGAGTAACATGGCGGCGCAGATGGCGGTAAATTCAGGTAAGAATGGTAATTTGTGTCTGTAATTAAATGAAAACTATTTATTTTGTGGGGTATGTGTCAATAGTTCTTGTTTGAGCATATACATAGTGTATTATATTTGTAGGTTGTCTGTTTTTCACGTTTTTCTACATGGGTCTAGCTTGAAGGGGGCGGACTGTTGGGCTACTTTAGCTTAGCCTCGCCCATGGCACACAAATGTTGTCGGCATGTGTTTGTGGATACACTTTTTTCCCTCTACCTTAGGTCATTTATACTGTGAAACCACATTATGAGATGATTTCTTTTAAATGCTCTTAATCCGTCCTCTTTAATGTAACATAAGTAGATGCTGTAGTTTACATACTAACTTAACAGGTACTAAAACTGAAACTGATTAGCTTAGTCTGAAAATGATACAGTAGTTTTGTTTTGTTTTTTTTGCGCTAGTTTTCATTTAGATGTTCGTATAATTAATGTTAATACATTAATGTTCCAGGCTCAAACAGGTGTCAATCTTGTCATGTGTACCTAAGTGTTGGAAATGTTTTGTTTCTGTATGCTAGAGCATCTGCTACAGGAGCGTTTGTAGGCACCAGATAGAGAATAAATGTATTAAATGTGGTTAGATTGGTTAATCTTAACATAAGTAAGTAGACTCTATGTGTAAACTATTTTTTATAGATTTCGGTTTGTCCAGTCCAAGGCATTCATATAACACTAGGTTATTTATAGTAGTAAGGATTAAGTTTAGCTTAAATTCACCTGCTTATTTAGAAGTTTAATCAAGTAAGCATGCATGTAGGTTTCTGTAATCACAATTATATGTGAAATGTGAAATATGCAATTTTCTAAATAATGTGATCAAGTCCAAACACAAGTGAGATGGTTTAAAAATATTATAGTATTCAGTTGTCTACAGATGTCTGAGTCTGGATGCATGGTGGCTCAGACAGTATTATAAGATATATTTTGTGGGGACATAAATACACAATGGTCAATGGAGGTGCTGAGCAGAAAGCAAGCATTATTGTGTTATTTCCAGAGTTGTGGTAGAGCAACGCTCCACATGAGAGCTGGCACATATCTGTATATGTTAATAGTTGTAATGAAAGTTTGACACACAGCACATTAACCCGTTTTCCTGCCTCAGGAGCCAGTCTGTGGGGGCCATTAAAGGAGTTATGGGAGACAGTAGACGGCGCAGTGTTGAGGAGGCAGAAGGAAAGCGTCCACCTCCTGGAGCTGCAACTGAAGAAATATAAACCGCACTTTCTCTCACTCTTTAAGAACCCGGTGAGAGAACTTGCTATGAACAGCTCTGCTGTAATTTCATGTGTTAATGATCGAAGCTGCTCTTCCTGCATCGTGTGACATGTATTCCTGACAGTCAGTGGACTTATGCATAGGGTTTCTTGAGGCTTTCATGAAAAAAATGGATATGTGTTCTTCTCTTTATTCTAGCCAAAGAGCGCAGAGCAGAGAGAGAAAGTACGCAAAGCCAGCACGGAGGGCATCGCCATCCAGGGTCAGCAGGGTTCGCGGCTCCTCCCAGAACAGCTTCTGACCGAGGCCTTCATCCTCAGCGATCTGTTCGACATCGGGGAGCTGGCAGCTCTGGAGCTCCTCTTGGCAGGTAGAGTGGAGCTTTAAAAACAGACACGGCCGGAAAGCAAACGCACAGAAAGAGTTTTGCAGGACATGTGACGGCTTTGCATTTAATCGCGTTCTGAATTGCACACCGCTGTTTGAGCTTTAGGATTGGTTCAATTCATGACTGGTGACTTGTGCGACTTTCAATAGCGCCGTGGTTTACATGAAACACTCTGAATGAGCCTTTGTTTACCAGGCGAACAGCAGCAGCCACATTTTCCTGGCCTGACGCGAGGTCTGGTGGCGGTGTTACTCTACTGGGACGGAAAGCTTTGCGTTGCTAACTCTCTGCGCACACTCATCCAGTCACGCCACGGCAAGACCTTCACCTTGGATCTAAGGTTACACCTTTCAGTTCAATCAGTCGCTACAGAGAGTTAGTGTGGTCTGTGAGATATCTTTGACATCAGCTTGCTAAATCTGGGTTTTATTCTGTCTCTAAGTGGAGAGCTGGTGGCTCTGACCACACGATTTACAGACGAGTTGATGAGCCAAGGACTGACCACACGCATCCTGAACCTAGTGTCCGAGATAAGTGTGACACAAGAGTTTGAACGGCTACAGAAGGAGCGCGGCCTGGGAAATGAAAAGCACAGGAAAGAGGTGGAAACACCCAGAAAGCACTCGTAGTTCTACAATCCTGTTAAAAATATTCACTGATGGAACAGATGAAAAAGTCTGGGACTCAGTTTCTTCTCTCCTCTGCCGTCAGGTCTGTGACCTCATCAAAGAATGCCGGCAGGCACTGGCAGACAGCCTATTTTCATGGACCTGCCAGTCACCTCTGACTAAGCACGACACCCTGGCTCTCATTGGCCACCTGGAGACGATGACCGTGCAGGCGGATGGGTCACTGGACAGTGTGAACCTTGCTCTGGTGATGTCGCTGCTGTACTGCCTGGACGTCAGCTTCATCGAGCAGGGAACTGAAGACAGAGAAGGTGGATGCATCTTCAATATTTTTGTAAAGATATATATATATTTAAAAAGTACCTGTTGCTGAGAGGTTGTGTTTTTGTCCTCCTGCAGATCTTCTCCAGGCACTGCCGTTGCTCACAGAGAGGCAGTATGTGTCTGCAGTACACAGTCGTCTGATGGACAGCCAGCCATGGAAACTCCCCGGTTTGCAGGCCGTTTGTCGCCTGGCCTGGGCTCTGTCCCTTCGAGTCCTGTCCCAGTTACCACAGGGCTCCGGTAATTTGTAATTTATTTGTTTTTGCGGCTCTGCGTGAGAAAGGACTCGCCTTCACCTTATAGAAGCCGCTCAACATAGATTTCTGTGTGTGTGTTTGTGTGGTCCAGCCCTTGTAGAGTTCACTGAAGCAGATGAGGCCCTGGCTGACCAGGCGCTTCTGGGAGATGTCTTCCTGTTCATCAAAGAAGGAATGCTGGGATGTGAGAGTTTTCCTCAGGAGGAGTTTTTCATCCGCCGCCTCCATTCGCTCATCACAGACTTCCTGGCACTCATGCCAATGAAGGTCCGGAAAGCTATCCGTCCTCACTTTGACTCATTTGTATGCTGCGATCTTGGCATAAACGGGTTAGATGTGCTAAAACTATGTTTGTTTTCAGGTTAAGCAGCTCCGTAATCGTGCTGACGAGGATGCCCGCCTGGTGCACATGTCTCTGCAGATGGACAGTGAGCTTCCATCTTCACTGAGGAAAGACCTGGACCATCTCCTGGCCTTAGTAAGTCTCCTCAGTCCTCATAGGACGGAAATGGGTCTCAGGTCTCAGATAAACAGAAGCGGCCTCTCACTCTAACGTGGTCTCTCTGTTGGTTTGTGTTCCAGATTGGAGAGTTTTACAGTAAGGACCCGTTTGGGCTGGAGCTGGGTCTGGAGTTCTGGTGTCCCACAGAATCACTCCAGCACACCTCACTGCAGGGGTCCTACCTGGGAATGGCCCTCCAAAGGCCTCCTCACAAACAGGTACCAGACCTGTTTTATTTTTTTTATTTAATTGATGTGAAGAATTTGATCAAATGTATTTCTGCATCTTTCTGTTCATCTGTCATGCAGGTGGTTCTGTCAAAGTTTGTGCGTCAGATGGGAGACCTCCTACCCTCCACCCTTTATATTCCCTACCTGCGCATGCTGAAAGGCCTCGCCAACGGCCCCCAGTGTGCTCACTACTGCTTCAGTCTGCTTAAAACAAATGGAGCCACACACAGTAAGAGATTGATTACTGGGTTGTAATTTACAGTTATTTTCTGATGGAGTTATTAAAAGAAATTGGGTTGAATAACCCGACGAGTTGCATCTTGTACACGTGCAGGTGACAACATCCAGGGAGTCTCAGGCAGTCCTGTGTCATGGGAGCATTTTTTCCACTCCCTCATGCTCTACCACGAGAACCTGAGGCGAGACCTGCCCAACCCGGACGCCACCCAGTACCGCCACCCGCCGCTCAGAGGCATCACCCAAAGAGAGCTGGACGGCCTGACTTCGTTTTTGCAGTTACTCACAACCATCGTCACATGGGTACGGCCCAACATGCAGGATAGTGGCCACATTTGACCCCACACTAGTATGATGTGTGAATCATTTCAGTAGGATCCATTGCTATGTTTTCTTTCCTTTTCTTTTCTTTCTTTAGAGCGAAAATGCACGCCTGGCTCTCTGCGAGCATCCCCAGTGGACCCCAGTCGTAGTGATGCTGGGGCTGCTACAGTGCAGCGTCCCCCCCATCCTGAAGGCCGAGATCCTGCTCTGCCTGGCCGCCTTCGGGAAATCGCCAGAGATCGCTGCTTCTCTGTGGCAGTCGCTGGAGTACACGCAGGTACAGCGAAACGGTGAAGGATGAAAGATGAGAGATGGGCCCTTTGTGATCAGCTCACCCAAAATATTACAAGTAAAACAGCATAATTTACTGATTATAAGACTTCCTCTGTGATGATGTAAAATCACTATTTTGGGGAAAAAAGGAAGAAAACCTGTAATTCTCATAAATAGATATGTTTATCTGAAGGTGATTTGAATTTGATTTTTGCCAGTTACCTTTGTAACTCCTCTTTTTAAACCAAAGGTCCTTCAAACTGTTCGTGCCCCGGGGCAGAGGCAAGCAGCTGGAATCGAGGTGAGTCTTTCTCCTTAAATGAAGGGATGCTACACTGTCAGCATGGTTTCTGCTGTTTTTCAGTCTCTTAACTTGGACTTCTTCGGTCATTTAGAGTTTTTTATGCTCAAAAGAGAATTATTTTGTTAGTGTGAAGCCAAATGTGGGTGATGTAACATGAGAATGATGCTTAACATTGATTGTGTAATTTAAATGGGAACTTGGTGGGTATTAAAGGCTGTTTACTTTGTGATACTTTTAAAGAGGACTTGCATTTTTTTGGGCGCCAGGTTGAGCTGAATGAGATCGAGTCGAGCAGCGAGGAGTACCCGCTGACCCGAGGCTTCTGCCACCTGATCAGCACGCTGGCTGAGAGCAGCCTGCCTGTCAATCTGGGAGCAGGGCTCCGCGTGCCAGGCTTTCAGCCCTACCTGAACTTCCTGCGGGACTCCGTCTTCCTCCCTTTCCCCACCAGAGCTTATCGCCGTCCGGCTGAGAAGGTAAACGTTGTGGTTTAAGCATCCCGTCATTCTCTTCCTCACATGAATATCTATCGATGACGTTTCTCTCCCTTGGTTTGTCTGTTCTTCTCTCAGTGGGAGGTCGCCGACTCTGTGCTCGAGGTGTTCCACAAGCTGCTGAGGGACTACGAGCCCCAGCCGTCAGACTTCATCCAGGAGCTGGTGGAGATCCAGGGCGAGCAGGTCCCGGCCTACAAGCCCCCCGGCCACAGCATCATGTTCCACCTGCTCAACGACTCGCCCACGCTGGCGCTCTGCCTCAGCCTGCTGGAGGAGGGCGTGCGCCAGCTGGACACTTACGCGCCCTTCCCTGGTGAGACATGCTCTCTCAGCAATGCAGAAGGATATTGTTTGCAGTCTTTTTGACGCCGCAGTCCGTCGCCCCCTCCCCCACTGCAGGTAAAAAGCACCTGGAGTCGGCGGTGTTGCACTGCCTGTGTCTGGTGGACTTGGCTCTCCAGAAGGAGGTGGTGTTCATGGACCTCCTGAGGGAGAGCCAGGCCTCCCTGCTGGTGTCCCCCCTGGAGCAGCTTCTCCAGGGGGTCAGCCCCCAAACCCGGAGAGCCGATCACATCGTCAACATTGCCAGGTATGATCCTCCTGTCAGGTTTAATTATGCCACAGATGCAAATTGAATTCCTTCTTTGAGCTCTTTGGGTGGCTGTTAGTAGCCTTTAAAGTTTCCACAGCAAAACTCTGGAGACCCTTTGAATTGGTGGATGTTGACAGAGCAGCTGACGTGTCTCTGGCAGGTATCTGTACCACAGCAGCTCAAACCCAGAGGCGGCTTTCCAGAGCGCCAAGATTCTGCGACGTATTGCCAACTACCCCAACATTCAACAGAGGCTGGTCGGCGATTTCACACACGACCAGGTACATGCACATCTTTATTTGAAAACTTTTGTACATTAACAGAAGTATTAGTTTAAATGGACCACATTGTGGGTTTTTAGCCTGGGACTTGTTGTTTATTGACTATCATATACGTCTTCGTTCCTTAGGCTGTGAGTGATAAGCTTATGGCTGGCTTTGTGGAGTGCCTGGATAATGAAGAGGCAGAAGAAGGAACAGACAACGGCGATGGTGAGACCTTAAGCCTTAAAACGCACCATGTTGGATTCATGTAGGATTTCATTACCGACCTTCTAATGCCACTTTTTAAACCTTCAGACTTGGATCAGCAGAAGAAGGTGTCAAGAATCCGACACGAGACCCAGATCCACATTCTGAACCTACTAATCACCTCCTTGGAGCTGAAGACGCCCAATCTGGCCCTTTACCTTTTGGGCTACGAAGTCAAGAAGCCCGTGTCCTCGACCAACCTCCAGGACCCAGGTGAGGTTAGGGTTGGGGTTTTCGGTGTTTGATAAGTAGCGTGGATAAGAGCACAGACGACCCAAGGACATTGTGTGTTTGGTATAACGGTGTCCTGCCTGTTCCAGGTGTTTTGGGGTGTCCGCGCAGCTGTTTGCATGCCATCCTCAGCCTGCTGCAGAGAGGCACCGAGAAAAGATCCGGACCTGTGCTCACAAAGCAGGCCCCACAGCTGGCCGAGCTCTGCTACCAGGTAACGACGGAATGAGATACTTGGTGGTTTTTTAAAATGAGCAGGTTTCTGTTTTTTTTGTTTTTTTAAGTTTATTTTTCCTTCCCATATCAGGTGATCTACCAGCTGTGCGCCTGCCAAGACACATCTGGACCCACCATGCGCTATTTGAGGACCAGCCAGGACTTCCTGTTCTCTCACCTGCAACATTTACCCTTCACCCTGGAAAGTGAGCAGAAACTTCCAAAATAATAAAAGAATTTCAGCAGTTGTGAGTGGGTGACCATCATTGACCACCTGCTTTGATATCTTCTCAGGTAACCAGATCGCCGCTCTCTCCCAGATGTCTTGGCTCATGAAAACTGCAGCGATCGAGCTGCGGGTGACCTCTCTGAACCGGCAGCGTTCGCACACTCAGCGCCTGGTCAACCTGCTGCTGGACGACCAGCCGCACGCGCAGCACGCAGGTGCGTGGACACCGCCGTCTCCATCTCAAACCTGCCGGAAAACCCTAAATCTCACAGCCGAGGGGACTGAACCAGGGGAGCTAAAGAGCTTTGATTTTTTTGTCCAGTTGACGGCGAATCTGGCATGGAGGAAGAGACCCGAGCGGTCAGCGGTTTCCTGCATTTCGACACTGTCTCTAAAGGTTTGTAGCTCATTTTAATCCACTGGGCACGTCTTTGTACACCCGATAACTTGGTCAGGATTTTGCTGTATTTCGTTGGCTTTGAGACATTTGTCTGGTGTGCCTCAGTGCGCCGGAAGCTGCTGAGCGTGCTGGACGCCATCGACTTCAGCCAGGCCATGCCGGAGCTGCTGCAGCTGGACTTCTTCGAGCGCACGCAGATCGAGCAGGTCATTTCCAACTGCGAGCACGTCAACGAGCAAGGACACACCGTGTGCAACGTCAAGGTGCGTATCCGGGCGGAAAGAGGGGACTCACCCTCCTCTGGCCTGTCGTTCTCGAAGTTCCTCTTGGCGTGCATCTGCCACCGGCCCCGTCTTCATGCAGTCTGTGTCATTTTCCCCACAGCTGCTTCACAGAGTGTTGGTCGCCGAGGTCAATGCCCTGCAGGGGATGGCGGCTATCGGGCAGAGGCCCCTCCTCATGGAAGTGAGTGGGCTTCAACTGATGGGGCCTTTGGTGTATTTCACTTCCTGTCACTGACATATAGATACAGAATCAGGCAAACATGCTCTCATTAAACACCTGTATGCTCATATAGTCTTTTCTGACATCGATGCGAGTCATTGCCCTCCCTTGTTGCGCTCCCGTAGGAGGTGAACTCCATCCTGCAGCAGGTGGTTGAGCGTAACCGTGTCCGCCGGAGCCTGACTGCGAAGCGGCACGCGCTGCAGTCCTGGAGGAGCCTGGTGGAGACGCTGCTGACCGCCTGCCCCGCCGACCTCATCCCCGCCGACGACCGGCAGCTCATCATCCGAGACCTACTGCTGGACCTCCACGACAAGGTCGGCCTCCTTCAGTCGCCAAGAGCCCAGGCGGTGTTGCTTTGTGCTGTTCAGAGCGGTGACGCCGTTTGGATTGCAGGTGCTGTCGGTGGACGCAGCCGGGGAGTTGATGCCCATCGTTGCCGGAGCGGTCTTCACCCTCACCGCCCACCTCAGCCAGTCGGTGCTGTCCGAGCAGCAGCAGGGGACGGGGGCCGAAGCCTCCTCAGGCTTCGCCTCCATTGCAAACTCGGCCCTTCACCTGATCCTCCGCAAGCTCCTGGACTTCATCCTTGCCACCGGTTGGTTATTACCTAAAGTCCCTTGGACTCCGTTACTATTATCCGGGGTGTTGAACAGGTAGCTTTTAGGTCTAAACTCATTTTAAATGTCTTTAGGAGGCGGATACCAGCGCCTGCGTGCTCACCTGTACGGCTCTCTGCTGTACTACCTCCAAATCGCTCAGAAACCAGAGGAACCCGACACTCTGCAGACAGGTAATAAAAAGTCAAAAGCCAGATTAGAAGATCGTTGGTGTTTCCTAAGGAGCTCTGTCTCTGCTTGGCTAACTGAGAGATCATCTTGCAGCAGGAAAAGCCATGTGGGAGCGCCTCACGGCCCCCGAGGACGGATTCTCCAAACTGCAGAGAGAAAACCTTGCCATTATCGAAAGTTATGGCAAAGCGCTCATGGAGGTTGTGTGTAGGGATGCCTGCGATGGCCATGAGATAAGCAGGGTAAGAGCTGAAAGCTGCCCGTAAACGAGGCTCCCACATTCTGGGTTTTTAGGCCCGTTCGGCCTCTCTATCTACACATAACAATAGACGTCATCCTGACTGTATCTTTCTTCTCCCTCTCGGTTGTTTGTCAGATGCTGGCCCTGGCCGTGCTGGACCGGATCCTGTCCATAGACCGTCAGAACCAGTGGCTGGTGTATGTGTGCAACAGCGGCTACCTGCGCTCGTTGGTGGAGAGTCTGAGGCAGGACGACGCGGCCCTCCAGAGCATGCTGACCCCTCAGCCACCCCTCCTCAAGCCGCTTTACATCTACGAGAGCAAGATGGTGAGGAGGCCGTGAAATCCAGAGACCAGCCGCCTTGCTTTGCTCCAAAATAGAAAGCTGGCTGCTTGCATTCAGAGCACTAACTCATGCTGTGTCTTTAGGCTCTTCTGACGCGCGTGGCTAAGAGCGGCGAGGGCGCTGTGGAGCTGCTGCGCTGTGGGCTGGTGGCACAGCTGATCGAGTGCCAGGTGTTTGACATGATCCCCGACAGCGATTCACACAGGTGAGGAATTTTGCATTGATGTTTTTCCAAAAGAAGGTCCAGTCATTCTGGTGCATGTAACTGATTCTCATTCAGCCCACTAACTTGCTTATTTCTGGTCCAACCCTTTGTCTGGGTTGTGTCCCATATGGACTGCAGGGTGATGAGGGACCCTTCGGGCTTCATCCCTACTCCTGTGGATCGCTACAGGCAAATTCTTTTACCAACCTTGAGACTACTTCAAGTGATACTGACGTCCACCTCCATAAATCACCAGCAGGGGGCAGCACAGGTAAGCAACCTATCTTCAACACCGGTGTACTTATTTTTCTTTTTTTGTATTTTTCACTGCAGATAGAAACTGTTTGTGTTTCCTGTAGCTGAATGGCTCATTGCTACCGTTCGGCTAACAAAGGCGGGTCGGGACTGAGTGGGACTGGTTTCTGTGTGTGTGTGTACCCTGCAGGTCCTCCAGTGGCTGATAGTCCATGCGGACACCATTCAGTCCCTGCTGCGCTGTCAGGAGCTCAGTATGGGAGCTCTGCAGGAGTTCTCCCTGTTGACCGGAATCATCAGCAAGACGGCTCTGCCAGGTACAGAGACCACGGAGGGCTTTTAATGTGGGATTCTGTTTGCTCCTGAAACCCCTCACTGTTGTTCATTAGATGTGTTTACAACTGCGTATTGCAGACAATCAGCTTTTGTGTAGTTTTTGAGCCCAAATTGGGGTCCTGCTCACAGTTTGGATCTGATTCTGGAAACACAAAAATAAGTTTAGCTGCAATTCAGCCATACTTGGTTTCAAAAGGCCATTCCAGCCAGTGGATCAGAAGCGGACTGCTTTTAATGCTTAAGTTTGAGTGGTGAAACCTGCAGAAACCCTGTAAATTTTCTGCTCTGCCTCGAAGGCGTTCTGGAGATGGGTGGAGAGATCAACAGTGCGGCTCTTATGGAGTTCCAGGGACACATCACCAGATTCCAGGTTACACACCCACTGCTTTTATTCCTCGTCTTGCCTGTGGTCCAGTGCATCCACCGGATGGTGTCTCATAATGTCTGGGCTGACTAAAGTGCTCTGTTCTGCAGCGTCTGTGTCTCTCCCTGCTCGGCCGTTTGGCGGGAAGCGAGCGGGAGCGGCTGTTGAAGCAGGCGGAGATCTCCGTTCCCGGGGACTCGGCCGAACGGAGAGAGGAGGTGGAGGTGGCCATGCAACAGGTCAGGAAATCACCATTTAAAAAGACTCAGAATAGGCGAATAGGGTTGTCACGATACTAAAACTTTCAACTCGATACCGACACTCAGGAAAATATTCAATACTCAATACCATTTTCAATACCACAAGGATAAAAACAAACACCCCAAAATGTAACTGAATTTCGACAGGTTAGTGTCTTTCGTTTTAAACTGACCTATTACTGATGTAATGGGGGTGGGGGGTATATCGTATCCGGATACACCGTTTTAGTTTCGATACTTTTTTGAGTATGGATACTTTTGACAACCCTAGTGGCAAATAGCTGGAGGTTTTGATTCTGTAATGGTGACTGATGTTGTTCTGTCTTCAGGTGTGCGCCAACATCATGGAGTACTGCCACACTCTCCTGCTGCAGAGCTCCGCCCAGGCCCAGTTCAGCATCTGCCTCTTCAGCCCGTCGGGCAGCGAGCCGGCGGGCAGAGACGCCGGGCGCTCTGGTCAGTCAGATTCACACACACACACACACACACACACACACACACGCACACACACACTTCCTGCCTCCTGCCCTCAGCAGTGGTCCCGTTTGAGCCGAGCACCCTCTCTCTGTTCCGTGTTCCCTCCAGACCTCTCGTCCACTCTGCCCTCGGTGGCCTACTCGCGGGTCCCCAGCCTGGGTCTGGTTCTCTACCTGCTGAAGAACAGCGCCGCAGACTTCTTCCGCTTCCACCAGAGCCACCGGCAGAGCCTGGGCAAACTCCAGAGCCTCGATCAGCTACCCCCGGAGGAGCTCAAAGAGGTGACCCAGGCCCAGTCCTCAAGTTCCTTATTGGACTGATCAGGATTATTTATCAAGTGTTGTAACGGACAAAAGATGTCTCCGATGTCTGTATGAATCTCGTTCTCAGCGTTCTTAAGATTTTATTTATTTTTTTCCTCTGTGTAGCTGTGCCAGGGCCTAGTGTCAGGCCCAGGAGGAGTGGAGAAAATCTCCTCAGTCCAGAGGAGCCTGCTGGCCAAGAGACGGTTGGTCCAGCTGATCAACAACAGAGCCAAGCTGCTGGCCTTAAGCTCCTGTATCCTTTACGAGGCAAACAGCTTTTCCTCCGGAGACCTTTCTCCTAGCCTCCTGCCTCCTGTCAGGCGGGTGCAGTAACGGCTGTGGGAAACCTTAACCCGCTTCTTCTCTAGATGTTATCGAGACCTGCTTATTTGTGCTGTGGCGCCACCTGGAGTACTACCTTTTGCACTGCATCCCCTCTGACCCCAAGGACTCCCTGCTGGCCGGAGCCAGTTTGTTCAGATCCCGCCTCACAGACGGTAAAAAAAACCCCTAAAAAAACATGGTTTAAAATAAATGTTTTTATGCCTTTAATTAGCTGATTAACAGCAGTTTGTGGACCGGATGAATAACAAAGTCAACTCTCCTCAGACCCGTTTGGCGGACTGCAGGCCAGTGGAAGTCGAGGACTCGGCCTGTCCAGGGTCAGCCAACAGGACCTGGACCAGGTGAGCAGCGGCCGCAGATGGCCGTTAACGGACCGAAATGACCTCAGCGTTTGCATTACCGTTGTGTGTGTGTTTTCAGCTGAAAAGCGACATGGCGGCGGGCTTCGGCGAGGCCCTGCAGAGGAAGCTGCTGGAGGTGGAGGGCCTGTACAGCCAGGTGCGCTCGCGCTACACATTCATCCAGGCCCTGGTCCGGAGGATCCGCGGCCTGCTGCGACACAACAAAGGCTGAACCGCCGGGGGCAGAGCCCGGCCCAGTTCTGAACGAGATGATGAAGCATCCAGAACATCGAAAAACAAACAGGCGCTGAATTAGTTTGTTTTTTCCCGACCAACCCGATCCTTATCCTGGTTTTTGCGACGTCGCCGGATCTAATTATGTCACCCAGAGCCGTGGAAGCGACGTTCTTCAAAGACGTGTGAACATACAGGCACCATCTTTTACCAAGCAGAATTTGATATTTGTCTGATGTCTCCTTTTTTTTTTCCTTTTGTGAAAATAAATATTTTCTAAATCTCTTAAATCGTGTAATTAGTAACATTTGATACTATAAAAAAGAGTTTCGTCTGAATATTTGGATGTTATTCCTTTCTGAAAAATGGCAAATACTGCCATCATTTAACCAGCAGGTTTTCTGGGTGAACTCATTCCAAAAGTCTTCTCAGCAGAAGCAAAACAAGGAACCAAAACGAGACACCATTTGTGAAAGAGGCCTCACAGCTAAAAGCAAGAGCGGTTTGACACACATTAAAAACAATTACCATCGTCTTTCAAACCCAACAAACCACCCTCACAGCTGTTACCGAATCTCCTTTTTATTTTTCGAAGGTACACTTTTTAGACTTTAAAGTGCGTAGATTCTCAAACCTTTGCAGAGGGGATGAGAGGAGACATAGAAATCTGGATTTACATTCAGATTTAAAAGGTTTTGTGCTCTCCTTTTTTAATTGACTTGACTACAGAGAAGAGGAGAGGGTTCAGAGAGAAGTGAGCAGCCTCACTGTGGAAAATATAGGCACATTTCCACCCCCCCCTCACAGTCTATCCAGCACTGTTGATAATCGCTGACGTTTCTTCGGTTAGGAAGGGAAAAACAAACGAAAAAACAGGATGCACTTTTTAGTTAACAGTAAACGAGCCAAGTTGTGCTATGCTCAACAATTCATGCCATACTCTATAAATTACTTTAAATAAAATTAATTACAGCATTAAAACATTTACATTGGTTGCACCAGCTTGCTATTTCTGATTGTGTTGCATCTGAAAAAGATCACACGGAGATAATTATGATCATCTGTCCTCTAGTTTAGTCCAAGTCCCAGTTCAGAAATCCCGATTGCATTTGGCCATTTAAATGGACACAGAACCTTGCAGGTCAAAGGATTGTATGAGGCACAATAGAGCAATAAGTGTTGTTTTTTTAATCCCTTTTGAAGAGAAATTGAACTGATCTGAAACGTACAGATTAGTTTGAATTGTTCCTTTGAGCTGTATATTTCATCCTGTTTGTCTACTTTAATAAATGTTTGGACTTTGGATGGTGGCACCATAAAGTGGCAAAGAAGCTGATAATATGAGAACTGGGTAATAGTTGCTTTCACATTTTGCAATCTATTTGGGAGTAAATCCACACAGATTCGCACAGTAAACATTTTCTTGGCCTTTAAGTGTCAAACCAGGGAGGCAAACTGACGCCACATCTGGAAGATTAACACAAGAAAAACATCAGAAATGTGACTGACTACATGAGCCAGAAGCAGACGCTCGCGTTTGGTCGGGCGGAGTTTTTTCTTTTTTCGTTGTTGAATTTGATTGTAAAAATCTGTTCCTTGCGCTTAGGAGAAAACACTCCATATAACCAGACCGACGCCTGTATAACGGCTCATCATAGAAGGGAGATAAGACCATCGCTATTGAACATGTGGATCGTCTCTACAGCTTTGGAACCAACACTCAAGCCAAACAAAAGGGAGAATACTGTAAATGCCTTAGATCATACGTAGACGTTTGCTTCAACAAAAAAAAAAAAAAAAAAAGCATATGACTAATTTCTGTACATAAAACACAGGTTCTTTTGAAAAGAAAAAGAAAAGTAGACTGTACATATAGACAGAGTTACAGCACCGGCAGGATTAGTTTGGTCTGTGGAAGAGCTGGGGCTGTCCGGTTTAGTGCCCGTTTGAGGACGCATCCTGATGGACCTCTGCTCTAGTGTTGATTGCACCAGAAATGTCTCAGTAATCCAGCACAGATGGAGCAGAGATCCAGGAAAAGACCGGGGGGGGGGGAGCTTGTCCAGCACTACGTGTTTTCCGATCGTCTTTTTTAGCGTGCCGGTTCTCCGCTTACGTGCTGTCCGAACCGGCTTCCTGCGTTGTTGTGGTGTTGTTGTTGTCCGTCGCCATGGCGCCGTTGGCCGGAGGCCGCTCGGGCATCTCCCCCCTCACGGCCACCCGGATCACCTGGAGCCAGCGCTGCTTGAGCTCCTCGTTCTCGGCGGCAAAGTTGTGCACGGACTTGGACTGGGCGAGGCGGAAGGAGGCGGGGGGGTCTGCGGGCCGCGCGCTGTCCTCCACCGAGTAGCCCAGCAGGGGGATGCTGCACAGGGCCTTCACGTCCTGATAGGGGGAGGGTGATGGAGGGGTTAATGACAGGGACCAGAAGCCTTTTCCACAGGGCTCCGATTCCATTTTTTGTTTTTTTTACCTGCGGGGCTCCGTAGAGGTAGAGCACCAGGCACTCCTTCTCGGGGATGACGCACCAGACCCGCTGCCACAGCTTGCTTTTCTCCGAGTACTGCAGGAAGCCGCACATGATGCTGCTGTCCGTGAACTGGCCCGCCTCGATCTGCGAAAAAGAGGGGAGGGGGGACAGACGACAGGCCGCGATTACACCAGGTCTGTCTCGGAAAAAACAGCCCGGGGGGCTTCGGATGGTGGCACCTCCCACAATTCAATTTTATTTATATAGCGCCACATCACAACAACAGTTGTCTCTCAGCGCTTTCCAAACAGAGCAGGTCAGACCCTACTCTGAAGTTAATTACAGAAACCCAACAATTCCCACCATGAGCAAGCACTAGGCGACACAGGCAAGGAAAAACTTCCTTTTAACAGGCAGAAACCTCGAGCAGAACCATGGCTCAGGGTGGGCGGCCATCTGCCTAGGCCGGTTGGGGGTGAGGGAAAGAGAGGGCAAGAGAGAGAGAGAGAGAGAGAAAGAGAGAGGGAGCAGAGAGAGGCAGCCAACACAGCAACATGTAGACTAGATCTGGGTACATTCTTTCACACACACAGTCAGATACCCAGACACACGCCTCTCCTTAAGCTTCTGTACAGTTGCCGCAAAATTCTGAGAAGCTCATTAATGTTCCTGCTTCCACTTTTGTTGCTTGTTTGTTGTTTTGTCTTCCTTGTGTCCTTTTCCAGGAACTCTTACACAGTTCTCCACTCGGATTGCCCACAAGGAACTCCTTTTTAGGTCTCCTTTTTACAGACATAGCAGCTGGTTGTATGGCCTTGTTGTATTTTTTTCCTTCTCTCTCTTTCTTTCTAAAGGATCTCTCTCCTTTCCACTACTCTTCCCTCCCCCCTGTCCCTCTGTCAGGTTCGGCATTATTGGACACATGTAAGTTTGGTAACAAAAAAGAATAAATAATGCAGGTTTGGGAAATCAAAGGGGGCTTTTCACTAACAAAGCCTCCCTTGGTAAAGCAATTTTGTTCAGCATAGCACGGTACTCAGATTCCAGTTCTGCTGCCATAATGCTGAACGGGACAAGGTAAAAATAATAAATAAATAAGAAAACATCACCGGGCTCCCAACGGGACCCCTGGAGCCTCACCTCCAGAATGCCCTTCTTCTTCCCCTCGGCCACGGCTTCTCCCGTCAGGATGGAGAAGCAGTCCCGGCACACTTTGTTCATCTTGTTGCCGTCGTACTCCAGCGGAGCCTTGTTGTCCGAGCACTTGTAGCACACCACCTGGAGGATGGAGGAATGGTCTCCGTCAGTCTCACACCAGTTTACAGTCGACTGAGGTACTAACGTCTTTACTTTATCTGGCACTGCAATTAATCTAAATACAAAAAAATACAAATCTTTGTTTCTCTGTTTAATCCTATTTATATCCATCCAGATAACGGACTTGAATAAATGCCAGTTTTGTTTTTAAAAAAAGTTTTTAAAACTACCAAATTTTGAAATTATAATGGAAAAATTATGATACAACACACAAAAAGCATATTGTTTCTAAATTTGAGCGTGTCTAGTCCGAACAAATTCAGATACTTAACTACTTTGGAAGAATATGTGAGTAATGTACCTCCTATTACTGTACACATTGTTGACAAATCTACTTTTAATAAAACAACATTTTAATATTTGACTCATTTTGCTGGTTTACAATGCAATATTCCGAATTCAACTAAAAGTAAACATAGCAAAAGTTCTCTCTAAAATGAAAAGGAATAGAAATCTAAGTGCTTTAGGACAAAGAGCAACGAAATGCATTACACTCCTTCAGTATTGGGGAACAGACCAAACCCCAGGGGACCTTTCCAGGACCACTTACGTAGCCGCAGGCTCTGCAGTGGTGCCTGCGCCGCGTCAGCGCGTTGAACGGCTCCTTACACTTCATGCACATGGTCACTTCATTGTCGCGGATCCAACGAGGAGCCCGCTTCCCCAGCTCAGCTTTCTGCATCAAAATAAACACAAAAACGCTCAAACACGAGGATGCAAAGGTCTGCCGGCAGTTTGGCCGCGCGGTTTGGACCCGACACCCACCGACACTTCCTCCACGTCCTTCTGGGCGTTCTTGAAGGACTCGTTCTTCTGCTGGAAGATCTCTATGGTCTGCTGGAAAGCCTGAGACGGGATCGAGAGCAGCGTGAAAAGGGAGCGCGTCTTTAAAGCACGCAGAACAGATTATATAAAAAAAAAGGGGGGGGGGTTGGGATACGGCAGGATTGTGCGGCCTACCTTAATCCAGTCTGCCTTGTCCTGCTCTGAGCTGGAGATGAAGAAAAGACAGAAAAAGGGTTTAGAAGCATGGAAAAAGTGCAGCCAATAGTCACCCCCTTCCTTTACAAACAGCAACAGAAACCAACTATTTTACAACTTGGAGAACCGAGTCATTTTCTAAGACTTTGGGGGTTATTGGTTGGTATATTGGTTGGTAATTCTCCTATAGCTTCCTATAGCCTATGGTGGAGTACCTGGCCTGGAGTTCCAGCGTCCTCTCCTTGCCCGACACTTGGAAGGTGTGAGGGTAGTCCTCGTTGGTCGTCTCTAGGACCTTCATGCCGTCGATCCCTATTCGCGTTCTCACCGTGTACTTGGGTCCTCCCAGGCTGAATTTTGGAACGCAGTATAACAGCATGTTGTTGAACTGGCAGGAGAAAAAAAACAACACAAAACCTTTTGAGACGAATGGGTCAGCATCGTTGTCGTTTGGGCTGAATTGACCATCTCGGGTATTGCGAATCGCACAGACGGGACCCATTCCACGCATAGCTAATAACAAACAACCCAAATATAATCCCATCCTAAATCATGTGGAGACTCCATCAACGAGATTTTGGAATGGGGCGGGGTTTCCTCACCAGGAAAAGGTACCTCTCCATCGCCGAGGTGTTCCTGGCCGCCAGCTTGAGGATGTGGCCCTGTTTGATGAACTCGTTGGAGGGATGAACGATGTCCTCCTCCTCACCCAGCATCTCGTATATCTCCATCAGTTTCTTCAGGTTCTCCTGGGTTGAGATATGGGGGATGTTTCTTTATCAGAGGGGAAGATGTCAATTCGATAAAAAAAAACTAAGGACTAAAACTAAAAGTGTCATTTTACTTACGGATTTCCTGATGGCGCTGTTGGAGTGAGTCGCTGCTGTGCCGATAATCTCTAATGATTCTGCAGAAAAGAGAGAGACGATCACAGCTCCATCCAAACCAACCCAATGTCTTAGTTCGGGGCTCCTTTCCACTCACTCTCTGCGTCCCTCCTGTCGGGGTCGTCCTGGGGCAGCTTCTTCAGGTAGTCTTTGAGCAGCATCTCGTATCGGGGGACCCTCTGCACCGGCTCCAGCATGTGGTGCTGCAGCGTCAGGGAGCCGCACACCTCCTGACTCTGTCATGAACCCAAACAGAAAATGCTCAAGGCCTGGTCTTCAACGCTCCGGTGCCTCTTATATCTTCAACTAAAGGTTCACTTTAGTCGGGATTCTTGAAGTGCCAGGTCCCGGTTCCCGTTTCTTACCTGTATCTCCTGGATTATGGCTTTGAACTGAGGCGAGCGGTCCGTCCACTGCTTGAGCAGCTCCATGGCCTTGTCGAAGTTCTTCACATACTCGGCGTACATTTTGAGGAAAGGTGTGAGTTTTTGCAGGATGTCACCGATTCGAGGAGTGGACGCCCTGCGGGGGAGGATAGAGTATTAAGGCAAACCTCTATGCAGTAAATTATGCCTCAATTTCACCTTTTAATGTTTACACATGTGCCATTTATGCTAATTCTACTTCGTCTTGCATGCTTGTGCCTGTTTTTTATTCATAACGTCTACAAAAATCAATCATTTAAACCCAATTTGGGGGACACAAGTCTGTTTCTGGACTGTACAGCTGGATTGTTCTAGGCCTCACCATTCCCCCATCCGCTTCTCCAGGTCCGGGAGCAGAAACTGGCCGTGAAAAGCGTTGATGGACGAGATGTTGGAGAAGATGTTCTTCACCACGTCCACCGGGAAGGTCCCTTTGTTGGCCTCCTCCATGAGCTTAGCACAGAACACCTGGACACACGCGTCAGATCGGGTTAAACGGAGTCTCCTTTCCTTTTTCCCGTCCAACAGGAGCCGGACAAGGTGTCCAGGTGAGTTCCTCACCTGGTCCAGGAGGTTCAGCCGAGTAACGTAGGCCTTCTCTGTGTGCAGGAGCTCGCTGGCGATTTTAAACAGCTTCTGTTCATTCGTCTCCTGAAAAGAGAGGCGACCGCCATTAGAATATTTGCACGTAGACTTTTCTTGTCTGATGCCTCTTAATCATGCAATCGTTTCTTCACACATGTTGAGCATATTACAGTGATCTCACTCAGCAGTCACGAAAACGCAACACCAAGCTTCCCGTTTGGCTCAAATCAAACCCTTAATCGTTAGCTTTTTCCCCTGAAATACTGATGATGAGGCCCACTTTTGCTGCGTGAGGTCATCCTAATGTTAAACATAGTTTAGCTACCACTGAGTAAAACCCGGCTGACTGTGGGCCAGGCCGGGGTCAAAATGGGGCGGGACCTGTGGCTGGAGGAAATGAAAATACGGAAAAAGGGAATTACAACTACAGAAACAATGACACGGCCCAGTAAAACAAGCTTCAGGTGCAGAAATAGAGTCTAATAGAAGCACGAGCCGGTGCTTTGCAAGCCGAGACGAGCACAATGGCCATGAAAGTGCAACATTTCATGCTTTGCATGGACACAATGAAGCGGCATCTGCCTCGCAGTTCCTCATACTCGCTAATGACCAGCTACTCTTCTCAAAATCTGCATATTTGATCAAAAATAAGTTGATTGTATATCTTCTGGTATATATTTAAACCTCAATAACATTGATAATGATAATATATCAGATTGTATAAACAATCTTAAACTATCTTTTGTTGTATATATTGTTGTACAAATTGTTGGAAAAAGTTTTTTTATGGATATAAATCCATGAAATCTGACAAGATTATTCAGATTTTGGTGGTGACCCGATAAACAAGAGTTGACCTCTTGTCTGGGTCAAACAGGGCTGAAATGGTTAAGCTTCTTTGTCACCTCTAACATGCCCAAATGAAAGAGAATGGTGCAAATCACCAAGAGTTGTCTTATTTCGCCGCTGGAACGGGCTGTGAAATACGTAGCAGATCCTCCCACATAAAAACCACCTGCGATTCACACGGCCAAAAGACACACACAGAGTAGCTAAAAGCAGGGCCATCTTAAACGAGTATTAATCATTTAAATGGACTGATCATTTTTGGAGGACACGTAGCTAAAAAGCACATTTGCAGACATCACGGGTTGATGCATAAAGAAAAGTGCATGAAAAATGAATAATAACAGTTTAATTTGCATATCATAGTGACTCCTGTATGCAAAACAGCTTTAAGTTTATCTTAAAGTCATCATTATCATCATTGAGACAGAATGTGAATGACTTTTGGGAATGATAAAATATCTATCTGTAAATATACATAGAGATAGTTATACATATTCCTATAAAAAAAATGTGATCAGCATGCAATGCTGTGTTGATTCTGGTTTCTAGAGTATATATAACTAAATAAATATATTTATATATGTGTGTGTGTGTGTGTGTGTAGTTAACAGGCAGGGCTTATGCGCTTAACAAGTTGTTTGTACCAGGAAACAAAAAAGAGAAGCTACAATGTATCTGTTAGCTTAATGTCCAAAACATGTGACCTGCTTGTGAATCCAGGCAGTTTAAAAGGAACACACTCAGACTCAGTCATGAGTTAATTAACTAACTATCTTCAAATATAAAACCCGGTCACTCTGGGACATGGAAAAAAAAACCCTCTCTCTTTCCTCTCTCACAGCCCTGGCAGAGCAGAGCTGTTTTTATCCTGGGAAGACAGAGGCTGGCCTGAACCTGAGATATTTTTAATGGGGACGCAACAGCCGGCACCGGGGGTGCTCGTGGGGCTTTCGTTGCCAGGTTACCCGAAACTCAGCTGCTCTAAAGTTCCCCATCTAACATCTGTTCAGGCTTAACACGCAATAACCCCCTCAGACGGACACACACAGGCGTTTTTCTGTCGCTCTATCCTGACGTTGTCATATTGGAAAAACTGGATTTGCACTCAGAGCTGAACCAAAAATCAATAAACAGATGCGGTGAAGTCCAACAGAGAGCAAAGAGTCAGAGCTAAAAATGGCTCCGTCGGCTCAGATTATGCAACACACGGGAAAGAATACACTGTGAATGCATTGTGAATGTGAAAAATCAATCGGCAGCTGTGTGCGTACCTTGTGGTCGGCGCTCCCTTCCTCCCCCCTCTGCTCGGTTTCTGTTTTAGTCCCCGTGTCCTCGCTCTGGTCGTGGCCCTCGGCCTCGGCTCCGTCTGCGTGCGAGGGTCCCGCGTCTCCGTTCACCAGCTCTCCGCCCTCCGTCCTGGAGCCGTTCAGGGGTCTGGTCTGGCTCTCCTCCTTTCCCTCCTCCTCCTCCTCCTCCTCCTCCCTGCTGGGCTCCATCTTCACTGGCACCCCGTTAGCCGCGGGCTTCTGGGCATCCTGCGTCGGGGAGGAGAGGGGCTCCGGCCTGGGGAAGGCGCGGTGAGCCGGGCTGCAGACGGGCGTCTTGCTGAGGGGTTTGAGCGGCGAGCCGTCTCTCTTGTTCTCCGAGTTGCTGATAAAAAAAGACAAAGGAGGAAGTGTGTGTCGGCTCGGGCCGGGAAGCGCAGACAAAAACGCGGGGCGAAGGAGCCGAAGAAAAAGATTAACAGGAAGCTGTTTTTAGCCGCTACGGAGAGCTTGTGTGTGGGGGGCGCGGACGCGAGCCGAGCAGCTTTTCCACGCCAGTGCGAGAGTTAAAAATAAAGCCAAAGGCAAGAGCAAACTTCATACCGTCTCGCGGCGCTCGGAGGTGTGTGCAAAGAGGGAACAGAAGTAAAAAGGACAAAGAGGACAGGAGGAGAAGTAACAGTCCCCAGAGGTACAACGCTGTCCTACTTTAACACACCAGATCCTGCCTCAGACACACAGCAACACAGGCCTCTTGGTTTGCACAGAAGTATCCAAAAACGAGCCGAAGAATAGAAAGCCAGAACAACAGAGAGAAAAAAACAAAAACGCGCGCACGTTACAACAGTCACAATTCAGCTGCCCCTACATCCTGTACCAGCAGCAGTCGGTGCAGCTGTTTCCCCCCCCCCGGTGCGAGAGACTCTCCGGACCTCCGCTATCAGCAGCACGCAGCAGCTGGAACCACCGTGTGTCATCTCAGTTTAAGCCGAGCTCCACGGAGTTTGAGAAAAAAAAAAAAACGGGGGCCGATCCAACCCGGTAGGATTTTAAACGCATGTGCGGCCAACTTCTCTATCCGTCCTCTAACCTTTTTACTGATAGCAGAGACGGTTCTCTCTGTTGCGACTGCCAGGAAGAAACAGGAAGTGTGTATAAATAGAGGAAGAGCCGTCTGGTGAAGAAGCCCTCTGCTGATGAATCAGTCCTGAGCCCTCAGCCACCTGAGCTGGGGCCAGACTGAAACAATAACTCTGCGGAAGGGCCGAACAGTCCCTCCGTTAGCTGACGAGAGACACTATTTGATATCGGAATAGCACGCGCTGACTTTGTGGCCGCACAAACCAGCGCCATGTGAATCGGATTAGTTCATTAGTCGGCTAATTCTTCTCTCAGAAGCCGTTGGGTCATTCCTTCTTTCTGCTCCGGCTCCACCAGACAGGTAATCCCCACGGTCTGAATGAGGAAGGAACCGGTCAGAGATTAACCCGGTTTTCCTGGTGGACGATTAGATGAACAGATTCTGTTTTCAGAACGCCAAAGCAGAGGGAAAAAAACAGGAAGACCGGCTTGGCTGCTCCTGTCTGAGCGTTTTCTCGGCCTCTAACTGTCCGAGTGGTCGGGACAAGGGCACCATTGTTGTGCCTCTCGGCACTGAGTGGGGACGGAAAGCTGAACCGGCATTAGTCGGCACAAAACCCAACTCCTCAGGATTCTTAACAAACACCGAACGACACAACTGAGCGTAAAACCAAAAGAAAACTTTAGTCGCCGCTTAATACCAATCCAGAAAATATCCAATCCAGAAAACGGACTGTGTGAAGTTACTCTTAGGTGTCCTACCTCCCTCTCCTGTGAGTCACTCTGTCACACAGCTGAAAGAGGACCCGGGTTTGCCCTCGCCCGTACAAATCTCCTCTCATCCCCCGGCTAACGCTCGGCATGTCAGGGCCCAGGCTAATCTCCACACGCTCTTTTTTTTTTCTGGCGCTCTCCTCTGAGGCCCGAGGACTCTAAAGAGATACTTCTGCTTCTCATCATCGACAGAGCCGGTAAAAGGTGTGGTAAGAGAATCTTTTCCGTCACTTGGATTGTGGCAACCCCCGTTAGAGGATGTTTTATGACACAAAAGTGACACGAATGGAATTGTTCCACCACCAATAAGCAGCCGGTGATGTTTTTAGTCAAATACACAAAAAGAGACCAAAAAAACTAAGAAAAAAAAACCTTGGTCAAATTATTTCTCAGTTTTCTTTAGTTTTTTTTTTTTTTTTTTACTTCTGTCTTTGGACTGTTAAGAAAAAAAGTCCTGTTCATAGAGACGGTTTCCTGGTTTTAGGTTTTCGGCCGGTACCTGTTTTCCTCAAAGCGGCTGATCAGGTCCGACACTTTGGAGTGTTTGTTTCTCTCCCGGGTGGCGGCCCCTATCTTCCCCGCCCCGTCCTCCATCCTGGGGCTGAGCAGCGCCCTCTGGAAGCGCTCCAGCGGGGACGAGACGGGCGTCACTGGACTCTTGAGGTGCTCTGGCTTGGGAGGCACTGCGGAGGAGACATCGAACATCATCAAAGCTGAACTCGGAACTCGGTGGGTCTCAAATCATTTCACTGCAGCTTCAATCTTTAGCTCAAGGGGGCAGCATGGGCTCGAGTGACACCCCTGGAGGGGGAAATCTGAGCTGAATTTAACATGTAACATGCAAAAATAAGAAGCCACACGCAGCTCCGGGCAACTGGGAAGTTAAGCTTTCTTTATATATCTACATATATCTGTGGCTGAACTCCCTGTTAGACTCAGAGGAAGAAAAATAATGGAGCTCTGTCTTTCTTATCTGTGTAGAATGATTAACTCGGCTCAAATAAAAAAGGGGTTTGCTGATCTCGTGGTTGACGTTAGCGCAGAAAAAGAAGGAACTGTAAACCTAAACTTACCGCACAAGCTTTTTTTTCTAAAGACTTAGCCCTTAGTGTCTGACTCGGCCTGGTGTCGTTTACCTTCCGGTTTAGTCTGCAGCCAGGATCTGCCCTCGGGCGCTCTTCCATTGACCCCTGCCCTGCTCTTGTCCGCTGTGGCCCTGACCGCCCGGGTCAGACACGCCTGGACGCTGGCCGCGCTGCTGAGCCTGCAGGCCGGGCTGCTGCCTAGAGCTGAAAGGACGCCGAGACAAAGAGGAGAACACACGGCCCATTAGTCCAAAGGGCCCCGGCGAGAATCGATGCCCATCAATCATTATCCGACAGAGAACTGAGAGGGCAGAAACAGACGGTCACACATCGCACACCGTCAACATCGTGTGCTCCATCACTATTTATAAAGACGGTGACCAAAACACAGAGGGAGACATCTTAAATATGTCTGGATTCCTCACGGTTCCACCATTTAAACACAGTGTGTTCGCTTTTTTTAAAGGGTTAGAGCACTGGTCTTATTCCCATTTTAATATTTTAGCTCTGCCATTAAGAGTACCACTAAGTAATTATATTTAAAAAAGTACACAGATGCTAATTTGAAGCTCATTTAAATCGTCTTGATTCGTTGTTGAGCTTTTATAATATGACCAACGATAACTGGGATTATTACACTGCAAATTCGTCATGCAAATGAAATCCTGCTGACACGAGTTGGATCTTTCCTCAGTTTCAGCTCCTCCACATGTTTAAAACAAAAAAAAAAAAGATGTTGCACATTAGACAAAAAAAGAACAACTATCACCCCTCTTTTTTAAACTTTGGGTCAACGAATGTCTCACAGCACCCAGAAACAGATCGCTCCTGCCGTGTGGCCGTGGCTGAGAATGAGATTATGATAAACAGCCGCAGACTAAATATTAGGGAAGTGTGAGACTTGGGTTGATTATCCCGCTAATGATCCGGCTGATGGCGAGCGCCGGGGAGAGGCTTTCACCCAACCAGCCGGCCACAGATGGCACTCCATCGGTGTTTAGACAGAACCGGCAGGCCTAATGGAGAAACCCACACAAGCAGGCCGTGTTTACAGTAGCCTAAACCCACCTCTGTCTGACCTCACAGCACACACACACACACACACACACACACACACATGCAAGACTGTATGGAGCAACATTGTAAGGCAAATGTCCTAATATGGATTTAGTTTAAAATGAATCTATGCAAGTTCATTTTTTGACCAGCTAAGAGTAGATTCGTTTAATTTGAAGGACCACTTTCATAAAGAGGTGTTCCGTTTTCAGCACGGCAGTATGGTCCTCATCTGTCTGGCGCTCAGTCATGCTAATACGCCCAAAAAAAAAGAAGAAGTTTTTCCATCCTCGCATCGTAAATCTCGGGAACGAGATCTTTGCCTCTCGACGTCTCCTCTTCTCTCTAAAATTAGATCCATCATCCGGGCTCTCAGATCATCCTTCAAACTAACTGCAGCGTTTTAGAAAAAAGATCTGAGCAGTAATGACTTTTTATTTCTTAAGCCAGAAGATATTGATGATTTTGGAAAGCCGCAGGACTCTTTGGAGAGGTTTCCAGCCAGGGTGGATTGATATGGAGGGGTTGTTTGCAAACCCCAAAACAGCATTCGAGGGAAAAGTGCACCCACAAAACATGCGCAGCGTTCCCCGTGAGATGCAATTTGTTTACAAAAAAAACTAACAGCATTTGCCAAAAAACGGTGCTCGGAACCCCATATTTACCATTCCCCCCAGAGATCTTTATCTCACCAGTCCTGAAACAGAAAGAGAAAGAAACGACCACAGAATCATACAGTCAGAGTCTCTATTTTTCGCAGACTGACCGTAATTAAAGACAACAGCTCGGGCAACTGTCTGCCTGGAAGTGTTCCCACGCTGTGATTTGGGGAGCCAACTCTCTAAACATGGCCTCGAAATAACCAATTAATTACCAAGGCTTGCCCTCGGCAATTGCCGTTGATTTGGGTGGCTGGCTTCCCCTTTGCTGGCCACATGAAGAGATAGTCAGAAAAAACAACCAGCGACATTATACACATGTGGCCCCAAATGAGGGGCCCTGCATGTGAACTGCCCATTAGAAGTGGCGTTTATCGGGGGAGGGCTTTATGTGGGGGGTCCGCCCCCCCCCCCCCCCCGGGCCAGCTCTTTTTTTTTCCAGCCCTCTGCTTTGGCCTCGCAGGTCGATTTAGAGATGCGGTTGAAGATAAGCGAGATGTAAACAGAGATAGAACGCGTGCAACAATTCCTCTGCCGATTGCTCTTGAGATCTGGGAACCAGATTATCTTGACGCTGTTATCTGAGGCATTAGAGCGCTTTAGCACCGTTGGGGAAAAAACGGGCGGGAGGGCGCGGCTCTCAGGAGAAGGACGACTTTCCAGAGCTGGTGTTTACATCCCAACAAGCAGCATCAGTGACAGAACACCGTATCAGAATCAGAATCAGAAAATACTTTAATAATCCCAGAGGGAAATTATTTTTGTTCCTAACTCCAGAAATAAAACAAGAGCATATACATAAATACAGTGGGGGAAATAAGTATTTGACCCCTTGCTGATTTTGCAGGTTTGCCCACTTACAAAGAATGCAACGATCTATAACTTTAATCATATGTACATTCTAACAGTGAAAGACAGAATCCCAAAGAAAATTCCAGAAAATCACATCATATGAATTTATAAAAATTGATAACCATTTGATGAGGAAAAATAAGCATTCTTTGTAAGTGGGCAAACCTGCAAAATCAGCAAGGGGTCAAATACTTATTTCCTCCACTGTATATACATAAGTAACTATATGTATATATAGGTCTAAAATAAGTGATACAGTAAATTTGAGTAAATTAGAGGCAGGCGCGTGAAAAGCTTCGACCTGGCTTTTGCTTTCGGCCTCCGCTCTTGTTTCAGTATTTCAGTACATATATATATGAAACAAGAGCTCAGTATCTGTTCAAAATATGCCAAAGCTGTATTCCAACACATCTGTCGGACAATTCAAAGCAGCACTCGAGACGTGAGAGATGCTTTCGTAAAAGTCCAGCATCCAGGCGGCCAGCGAAAAGCAACCCGACCCCTCCCCCCCCCCCCCCCCCCAATCGGTCAGAAAGAGTCTCAGAAAGCTCAGAAACTGCACCACAGCCAAACAAAACTCCTAATGGCTACCGCACGCCAGTAAAGCGAGCAAAGGAATTTACCGGCCAGCACGAATGTGCTTTTTTATTTTTTTGGGGGGCGACAACAAAACAAGCAATGTCCAAAAATAGGGAATAATACAAACCTAAGCCTAAAATAGCCCAGTTTGGCTCGGAGGGCAGCAGCTTCTCCCAGTTTGTTGTTCAAACACTTTCCTGTTTTGTTTTAGTTTTTTGGGCTCCCAGAGAAATTGTGCGACCCCGGTGAATTTGAATGGCTTTCTGCATTTATTTTATTGCAATTATGGTGTTTTTTTGTACTGCCTCTAGAAACAAATGGACCTCCTAAATGTAGGTTTTTAGCTTTGTGAGGTCTAGGTCTTCATAGAGAGCACAACGTCCCCATCAGTAAAAAGTGGTTGTTACTTCAAATGTGCATTCCTTATAAGGAACAGTTTCTGTTAAGTATTTTTGTTCCTTTTGCTTCAAATTCAGCACCTTTAGTCACTGATCAGATCCTCTTCACTGTCCCAAGATGCAAAGAAGCTCGTAAAAAAACCTGACCAGAACAAGTGTTTAAATGCCAGCTTCTCTTAATCGTTAACTTCCATTTTGGTTATTGTATTTAAAAAGGATTGATCATTAAATTGTCCTTTATTTCCTTTCATTTTCAACAGGGGTATGCAAAAGTGTGTGGTTAATTGATTTTTTTAGGAGTTTTGTTTGATTTACTTACTATCTTTTTAAAGGGGATTTCGTGTGGGATAAACCATTCACGGTTGGATCTTTTCTAGTTTAGGTTTGGATTCAGAAAACACACAATCGAATAGTCCAAACAGGTGGACGGAGGTAACGGCATTAGTCACCACACACCATACAGTCATTAAATAGCTGTTAATCTATAGATATATTTTATAGTTTCTACTAAAATACTTGGTGAATGTATTGAACGCTTTAGGATTTTATGAAGTGGCATGAATAAAGACACATTCTTCTAGAAAACTGGACAAACATCAAGGAGGAAATGGCCGAAAGGGGGAAAAACACCAACATATTTTGGTATGCAGGCTGATAAGTCACCACTCAGGCTCTGAGCTATTTCCACCCCGGGACACACCCCCACGGAGCGCCGCTATCCGACCGGCAGCCTGCCTCACCTGTATTTTTCCTGCCTCACCTGTGCCGCCACGCCTCTGAGCCCGTTTTGGCAACGCTTCACCTGGAAGTACCCAGGGAGGACAAAAGGAAGACCTGTCTTGAGTCTCCACCCTTGAACACGGGGGTGGGGGGGTGGTGGTGGGGGGGTATCGGCCTGGAACCGACGCCCGCACCTCTCAGATCAAAGGGAATCTCTGAGAAAGACTCTGTACTCATTCTCCTTCTTCTGCACATATGCAGACATACTGGGGAATACTTGGGTGTTGCATTCACAGACACAGCCGCGTGGGATATTATGAGCCGGTGGGTAGTTCTTTTTGTTAACATTTCTTTTTTCCAAACAGCCGGAATAAAAGTGCATCTGCTACTTTATGCATGCCTGACAATTTGTCCTGTAACAGGCGCCGGGATTTTGTGGAAATTAAATGGTGGAAAACAGCCTCACAAAGCAACAGGTAAGGAGGAGGATATCCTTTCTCAAAAAAATCAAATAAAATATATATAAATAGAAGTAACACAAATAAACAACACAGCAAAAAGAGGCAGACACACACCATCCTCATGAGAAACAATTCCAGGATTAAACATTTAGTGGATTTGAGGGAAAACTCACCGGGTGTGTTTGAGAGACAGACAGGAAAACAGATGGAGGACCGGGCTGAGGGGGGGGAGAGTGGCTCCCAGATGAGAACTAAGTTTAGGTTTTCATGCAGTCTTCCCAGGGAGTGCTGCTGTGAGTGAGTCAGCCCCGCAGAGGCGAATTACAGAACAGCAAAACTCCTCCCTCACTCTCACTCTCACACACAACCCCCCTTTTTTTTTTTACTTTTAAAAAGTACAGAGACACACACACACACCACTGCAGGCCTGAGGGTTGTCACACATAAAACGCACAAGCCAGGAAGCCAATAGGCGCTCCCGGAAGAACGACACCTCCCTCCACTGATCACCTGCTCACATGAACGCCAATAAAACAGTCGGCAAAATGGGAAGCTGGGATTTATACCGTGATAAATTCAAATATATATGTGCCCGTCGCTTACCATCGCAAAACGATGGAGGAGATTAGCTACAAGTGATCAAACAAACACACACACAGGAGAAGTTTGGTGCGAAACATGGCCAATAGGTGGAGGGAAAACAGTTTTTTCCCCTTTAACCATCGGTTAACTTTGGCCAACGATTAGCAAACACCACAGTTAAGCCCGGAAGAAATCCAAACAAAGCCCTACAGTTCATCTTTCCTTTATTCAGTCTACTTCTCCTCCCGAGGCACGTTTGCGCAAATATTTGAAACGACCACAAAAAAGAGGAAAAAAAAAATAACAGACCCAGAATGCACCAAAAAAAAAATACAAATAAAAGAAAAACCTGAACAGAATGATGCAAAACGGTGAATCTGGAAAAACCTGACTTATGAGAAATGCTGAATAAAGCTACATGGAAATGAAAGAATGAACCAGAGAAAAGAGATTGTAACAGGTATTAACAAAATGTACCTTTAGCAGAGGTCGGCTTGGGGAACTGAAACTCTGGGTCTGGCAGTTATGCTCCGTGGTGCTCGGCCTTTAAATAACTGCTGATTTGCACCGATATACATCCACTCTGAGCTGTGACTGGGTAAAAAAGAGAAAGAAGAACCTCCACTGGGACAGGAAGCGTTCGGTCTAGTGTCAAAAGGAGCTGTAGAAACCCGGTTTTACAAAGAGTGCTGGTGTTTTACATAATCGTTCACCAGGATGGACAGTTAGCATTTGTTTACCGGCTGCAGGGGGGAGAGAGTTTGAAGGGATAACAGGCACCGTCTTGCTTTTTGAGTAAACCGGTCGGACCAGAAAGAATTCCATTCCTTTAAGTACCATCTAAATTGCCTTCACTGACAGGACAACAGTGCTTCAAAACAAAGCTGTCCGTCACCAGATTTTGCCTCGCGTCAGCCGGTGGAGCCAGAAAAATGCAAATACCTAAAAGGTTTAATCATCCCATTGTGGGAAAGTCTTGAGGAGCCGTGCACGGATCACC